CCTATGTATGAGAGACCACTATCACAATCAAGTTTGTACACTCCTGCATCTTGTAGAGGAATATGACACTTGACGGATGGTAAGAACTGACCAATCTTCTTCAGCGCCTTGTAGAATGTTCTAATAGAAGCTCGCTTCAAGATCTAGCCAATCTTGTCTGTGACACCTCTGACATATGGTAGTACAGCAGGTACACGCTCGACTGTGGCCAGCTTCACTCGGTCACTGTGACGTAGGCGCGGGACCCGAAGCTTGTTGTCGTGCAGAACTTGTTTGACATGCTAAAGCTCGGCGGCCAGGTGTTTGCTGTCACAGATCCCTCGTGCTCTCTGTAACAAAGATTTGCCCACGGTAGCTAACTGTGAAGGATGATGGTGAGATTCACCATTTAAATATCGGTTTGTATGGGTCTTTTTTCTATACACAGTATGGCGCAAGGTGTTATCAGGATTCCGAATTACTAACACATCTAGGAAAGCTAAGGAATTATTTGCCTCTAACTCCGTAGTAAATTGAATTTTAGAGTTTATGGAATTAAGATGTTCTAAAAATGCAGTTACTTTGTCTGATGGTAAAATTGTGAAAGTATTGTCTACGTACCGCTTGTAGAACCTTGGTGTAACAGGTTCAGTAAGGAGGGCTTTCTCCTCAAAGTCTTCCATGAATATATTGGCGACAATGGGAGATACAGAAGAGCCTATCGCAACACCATCTACTTGCTTGTAGAACTCTTCCTTCCACAATAGATAGCCAGATGTAAGGCAATATCTTAGTAGTACTGCATATTCTGGTGGCATGTTATTTTCATCTAGTTTCCTAGTTATAATTGAGATGCAGTCTTCAACAGGTAGGCATGTAAATAGAGACTGAACATCAAAACTAACCATGGTTTCATTGTCAGTAAGACGTAGGTCTTTTATCTCACTGAACAAATGGTATGAATCCTTAATATGTACTCTTGTGTGTCTTCTGAGTGGTGATAATATTTTGGCTAAGCGTTGAGCCAATCTGTAAGTTGGCGAATCGATCTTGGTTAGTTTGTGTATTTTTGGTAACCCATACAACTTCGGAGGTTTTGCACACGAAGGTATCATCGAATTGACGTCTAGATTCAATTTCTTGGAGTATTTCTTAATTAGATCGCTAGTTGCTTTAAGCGTATTAGTTGTAGGGTCTGTTTTGACTTTAGGATATGTACTTTCATCCGACAAAAGTTGTTGTATTTTAAAATTGTAATCCGACGTATCCATTACAACCGTAGCATTACCTTTACCCTCTTTCTCCCTCCCTTTCCTACGTCACGGCAGACTTTGCATGGTTTCTAAGGGCTGGCATTAAAGAGTTAAAAAATACATTGCGAAAGGGTAAGTAAGTTACTTAGGTAAGATACCTTATTCTGACTATGATCGACTGACCACATTTTCGTTACTATGTGAGTTCTTCGACCCCAAACGTATGCAAATTGCAGGGCCATTCGTCGCAAATCGCGATGCTTAGCTCGGAAAAAATATATAGTTAGTGAAAACAACTAATAAACCCGAAATACTATTCCTTAATGAAATGTGATCGTATTCTACTTAGTTAAAAATCTTGTTAACAAACTTTTAATTTCAGTATTTTGCGTTATCATAACTTAAAATATTTCAATTACGAGGCAAGTATAGGAATGTAAGTAGGTAATTACGATAGTGAACAAAATTTCAACAAAGTTTTGTAATCAAGTACCTACTTAGGTACAACTTCTGTAGTTAAATAATTACTAAATTATTTTTTACCTTTCATTATCTTTCGGTAACTTTAAAAATTATTTATCTGACTCTTTTGTTTGCTCATCCATTAAGTATCCATCCACACAACAATTATAGTAGATTCGACATTTTTCCATAGTAATTTATCAAATGGATAGGTAATATTACATATGTATTATTTTTAAATTACATTAAAAATTTTCAACTATGTTATGCTGCAATTTAATATACTAAACACTAAGCACATTTCATCTAGGACTCACTTTTATGTTAGACACTCACCTGTATTTCTTTAAGTCACATTGAACAAAATTATTTATTAATAAATAAATTTATAATTATGTTTATTATAATTATTATAAATATAAATTATTACTGATATTTTATCATTTATATTCCTAAAATAAATAAAATAAAAAATAATGGAGCACGATTAATTTCGATGAAATTTTTACTATATTATTATATTATATTATATTTTTATCATGAAGGTTAGACAACAGGAGAACGATCACCGTAGAAAATAGTGTCCCAGAAATATGGACACCATCAATGAGGCGCTGCGATCACTAAGTGCAGTCAATAAAAGTCATTTTCACTCTATTTTTCCGATCAGATGCTCAACCTCTTGCACATACAACGCACAATAAAATATTTCTCCATTTTTTAATGTTTCTTTTTGTCAAAAATTACAAAATTAAGGAGCATAAAAATTTTCTACGAAAAAATGAAATGAAAATTTGTACAATATTCAACTAACTTCACCTACTTGTACTCATAAACAGCTAATTTCGCAGTCACTACTCACCGACGTCAGCGTCGCTATGTATTCTACAATTTTCAAGAACAGGCGGGCTATGCTTTAGTACGTAGTGATCGTTCTCCTGTTCTCTAACCTTCATGATTTTTATGATTAAATTTGTACATTATTCAACTAACTTCATCTACTTATACTTATAAACAGCTAACTTCGCAGATACTACTTACCGACGGCAACGCGACTGTAAATTCTACAAATTTTCAGGGAAAGGCGGGATAATGCTTTAGCACGTAGCGATCGTTCTCCTTTTCTCTAACCTCCATGCACCTCAGAATGGAAATATTGATCCACTACTCCAATATCTTATCTGTTATCTTATCTTATCTACAAACAAATTCAAGTCGTACTAACGGCGCCTCTACACGTTGGCCAACACAGTGGCGAATGTAGTGGCGAAGATATTGGCCGAGAGTTTGTGACGGCATCCACACGTTGGAAGGTCGTTCAGTTTGCTTCCCTTCAGGCCAATGTGCGGACGAATTTATTTTATTTTAGACGACGGCTCCGTGGCGCAGTGGCTTAGCAATGAGTGGCTACGCCGGAATCCGCGGGTTCGAATCCCGCACGGAACAAGTATTTGTATGTCCTACAAATAATTGTTCCGGGTCTGGATGTGTGTCCTTTTGCAATGTATGTTTGTAAACTGTCTCCGCGATACAGGAGAAAATCCTAGTGTGGGGGTAACGTTTTTATAAAACAATAGTGAATATTAATGGGGCTGTGAATAGATACACGATATACGATTAGCTTTATTTATTCTTTACATGCATCATAAACTGGAATAAATACCATTAATTATAACTTAACTTATTTTAAAATTAAAGGAGTTATAATCGATTAGTTTATGTTTTAATATTGGGTTATGATTTTAAAGTTTAGCAAAACATGTACTTGCTTTTCTATCAGACATTTGTTGTATATAAAAAACACCTAATTTATTTGTCAGTTTAATTATTTTTTGAGAAAGACAAGACAGGAATAAATATAATTGACACTGACTTAATAATAGGTACTAATTATAACTTAGAACATAAATGAAAAACTCATGACAAGGAAAGTGGCTCAGGATCAGGACCATGCTTTGCGGCTGTCTGTGGAGGAGGTAGCGGACTTGTGAAGAGCTGTAATAATGATGATGATTCGAAAACTTGCACGATTAAATTATAAGAAATCGACGTTTTTTTTATAGGATAGGGTGTCAAACGAGCACACAGTTCACCTGGTGGTAAGTGGTTACTGTGGCCCACAGACATCTACATCTATCCTCGATTATGAATCAAAATGCAGATGCGTTGTCACCGAGGACCAAGATGAAATGGCTCGTTTGCTATAAAAAGGGTCTCTGGTTCTCTACACGCACTATACGAAACACAGCATCATTAAGCTATTATTTTACGCTGATATTCTGTGAGAGCGTGGTCCTTCCCCGGTCGAGCCAACCCATTCGTGCTACAACTATATTTCTAACATAACTGTACCACGTATAAACGACGTGCTTCATTTTTTTCATTTTAAAATTATTCTCGTAATTATCTGATTGTAAATAAATGTTCATTTTTTTATTAATAGCTTATCGATTAAAACAAATTTTTAAAAATAATTAAATCGCACCAATTAAAGTAGTAGGAATGTTTAAAGTTGAAATTGGCACTAAAAGGCTGGTAATTGGGACATCCACCCTACAAAGCGTGAATATAAAATTTAAAACAGATGCGTGTAATCACTCTGGGAGCTTGTAGCAAACTAAATGCACGCCCAACGTGTGGACGCGGCGACCAAACTCTGCCAACAATCCTTTGATCTTTTGTAAAAAACCGACACCACACGGATCTCGCGCCAACTTGTGGTCCATCGTTCCAATACATACCAATGAAGCCCAAACACCCACTCTACACGTTAGCCAATGCTATTGGCCACTACATGCACCACTGTGTTGGCCAACGTGTAGAGGCGCCGTAAGGGTAAGCTGTAAATTTTGGACCTGTTCAGAGCCCTTTCCAAGTGTCCGGTTCACAGATATCAAATGTTTTGGTTTGGTTTAGATGATTTATCTCTATAAGCGGGCATATGAGTGTGTATCGCCAGCAACGCAAAGTCAGGAATTTGCATTTAGAAAAACCCAAAATTTTTAGGTGCCAAGTTTAAAAATTAGGTGTTCTAAAAGTTTTACCACAACGAACTGTTGCTGGCAAAACGTATCGCTAGCAACGCAGTGATGATAATAGATATGCAATAAATAACCAGCCTTCCGAAAATACAAGATTCAAAGAATTTTAAAGAGCTCTATACCACAACTTTTAATTTATTAAAATATTCTTAGTTAAAAACTTAATTTGAATGCTTCTCTTGATGCTTAAAAGGAAAAAATATTTTATGATAGCAACTCTACAACGATCAAGGATGTAGATGGCGCTAATTTTCATATAATAAAGATGGAAGTGTTTCTTTATAATTCTACTGTTTGTCGATTGTGTGGAGAAGAAAATGACAATGGAAATCTGTTATATTCGAGTGAAGAAAATAATCAAAACCTTAGTGATATTATAAATACGTATTTACCGATTAAGGTAAATTTGAAATAAATTGTGATTGTTTTGACTTCAATAATGAATCAAATATGGCCGACATTTAACCTTTGTTAACATTTTCATATCTTTATTTGACTTAAATTTTTCTTATTTTTATAACAAATGATTGTAAATAGAAAAAATATGATATTAAATTATCGTATTGATTTTCTCAGTATTATATAAATATTCGTTCCAAATAAAAAATTAAATGTTTTTTAAAGAGAGGATCCCATCGTATTTTCGGGTATAGCGCGCGACATCCGCTAACTTTGACTTTGATATTTGTTTAGAATATTTCATTTCAATATGAAACAGAATAATCATTAGAATAATTATATATAAAGAGACAAATATTAAGTCCTATAATCTACAAGATAATTTTTCATTATGTTCGATTTCATTCGCGAGGCTTAAATCGGGAATTATATTAAAAACAGGTGTCAGATGATGGTCAACTACCACGAACGATTTGTCCTGGATGTACAATACAGCTGGAGGCTACAGTTGAATTTTTAAACTTAATTATTAATGGACAGGTAAAAACTCACGATATTTGCTGATTATGATAAAATACATTTGTATAAGAGGATTCTTTAGATTTCTCCCTTTTAATTACAGAAAGTTATAAGAGAGCTTTATCAAAGAGAAAAGGAATACAAGAGGTCCGTTTCACCTTCAAATGAAACCGAGGTTATAACTGAGAAAATCGTTTATGAAAGTAAGTTTCATCACTACTTTTCAAGTAGGAAATCTAAACAATATTTATTAAGTTTTGAAAAATAATCTTTATTTTTTAACTCATGAAGTTCATAATACTTATAACACTAAGATTACCATCAACATATGTTCTAGAAACCTTGTTAAATTTATCAGCTTTAATTAACGGGAAACCCATATTTCACCATTTTCCAGCCTAACTTGTATGCTCTTCGAATTTTAGAATAAGACTAGGCTTGTCTAGTCTACGCTATAATTTTTTTTTAATGTTGTTGCATGTAGTTTTTTACAAACATGTGATACCTGACTGAAGGCAGCAACCTACTTGCCTGCCGCAGGGGCAATCTAGAGTGTAGGAGTGGGGATGTCCCTTAACTGCCTCCTTAATTGTAATGAGTGTATGCAAGAAGGGGCAATATCCTAAGTCGGCCCTAAGGCAGGAGCGCAAGACCTTCCCAGCTCCCTAGATCATAAATGCCGCTGCGGCGTGTGTAGTGCAATTGGGGCAATTTCAATCAGTTCATTGGCAACATTTGCACGAAGCAAAAGTGTGAGTACAAGTCACAATGGATACCTATATGCTAATGGATAACGAGTGTGAAATTTGGACACAGGTGATAGGTGATAGAAGTGTATTAAGAGTGGCTGCTTCACTCAGTAACTTCTTTTTATCTTTTTTTGCGGTTGCACTGTAGAAAGAATGTTATTTGAATGTGGTAACATTTTTAAACATGGTAGAGCCATGCTGCAGCTTACAAGCACTATATTATGGTTATAATTATTAATTAACTGATTGTTTAATTGATAAATGTGGATGTCCATGGGCCACAGTATCCACTTACCATGAGGTGTTTATCACCCTTATACTATATAAAAAAGCCAGAACTATATATACTGATTCATTAATTTTTCGATAATACTGGCGCCATTCTTAACATGTGTGTCCATCGAGACGTGCACTCTCGAACTGAGTGGCAGACTTGTGTATAGAGACAGTTCTGATATTGCCCCACTAGCTGTACACCCTAGACTGCGGCAAGCGAGTAGCCGCCTTAAGGAATGGTAGGTCCTAGATGGAATGCTGGTTAGTGATAGTTGTGATAACCCTTTCCCTGTCCCATGAATCATAATATATGAACATTTCAATTGTTTAACTATTGTGTCTATTTAGTGGACAGGTCTACTGTTAACACAAAAATTGTTTAGTTCCAATCTGGTATGTAGCGAATTGTTGTGGGTTTTCACTGCGTCTCTGATGAATCCTAGTAGATAAATAAATGAATATATGCATGGTTAGTAGTTCAATAAAAGATATTATTAGTTTCCAGAGGTGACAATGCATCAGCATTTTGATTCTTGATCAAGGATGTTGTAGGATGTGTATAGATTTCTATAGGCCACTGCATTAACTTACTATCTGGTGCTTGTTTATTACCTTTATTCTATAAAAAAGACTTGTGACAATGAAAATATCAGCATATTTCGGTAAAAATAAAGAAAAATTCATATAATGTCAAGTTGGTATAAAACGTACAGGTATTAAACCAGGAAGTGATAGTTATCAGAAAAATAAAAAAAATCTCATTCTAGTTTTTAGTCATTCAAAAAAATCAATAAAATTAACTTCCTTCGATGATCTTTAAAATACTGTGACTACAAATCTTTTCTTTTCTGCCTTGCAACACAACTGGCTTACTTTTAAAGAAAACGAGTCATTTACCCAACTATGAACTCAAAATTAATTAATACTGTATCAATTATTTAGACTTCAATAAAATAAAAAAAACATATCAAGTTATTTTGTCTTTAGTGCAGGTCTGTCTATTATATTTCATTTGTATTATCATTTATGGATGTTGATAACTCATGAAAGTTGTTTTTGTGATATTCCTGTTCTGTGTTATATTTTTTATTTTGTCATTGTTTTTTTTGCTTTCTATACATATTATTTGATATTTAGTTATTTTACTACATTTAACTATAAAAACTTACAGTTAATACCAGTGATGGGGTGTACCAAATTGAGCATCCAATCGCCCTTCAGGTAGCGGGGCTAGAGAAACCTAAAAGAAAAAGAGGTAGGCCACCAAAAAAACCAAAGTGCCCTGAGGAATTGGCACAACAAGCAACTGTTCAGGTTTCTCAGGAAGAAAACACTAAATCAGGAAGAAAAGACTGTCAATATCCTCGTGGTAATGACAGTGATGAACCAACAGGAAAGAGGCGCAGAAAAACGCCAACTAGGTTTAAGGAAGTGGTACAGGTACAACTTTTAATAAATAGAAACGCTGTAATAATACTTTGAAGCCTATTTCATGAGTAACTAACTAACCTGTTATAACATTTATATGATAATGGCTGTGCGTTAATAAGTATGCGTAAATAAGATGTTTATTTAATGTGACCAAAATGTTTCAATTTGAGTAAAAAATATATTGAGTCTTAATAAATGACTGGGTATTGACCTATAACTTGAAATTGATATTGACCTATGTGACCTATGTTAAAGTTTCCGGTCTTCCTTTTAATAAAAAGTAAAAGATGACTTAAGACCTAAGTAAAACTAGTTTTTACGAATCTTTTTATTTTATATTCCCGACGTTTTGAGCACATTATCCTCTCAACTGCGGACGTCTAACCCTTGGACACGAAAATATCTCCGTTGACTGTGGGTGTCCAAGTGCTGGACATTTTTTACCCGCTCATTTAATGTCGAAATAAAGCATTACTCACTATGTCTAACTCATTCTACCATATGTCGATGTGTACAGAATAAAAAAGGTTACCATAAAAAGCCAACAGCTTATACACTTCAGTAGGATTTTTTGTTTATATCACCCCATCCGTGCCTTGAGTCAGCCATCAGTGTGACTGACTCGTCTACAACAATTAAATTATTTTGTATTAATTTATATTAATAGTGTCGTGAATTGTGTTAAAACAATGCCTGGGTAAGCAACCTCCTTATTTGTAATCTCATTTTGTGTTTTATCTCATTAAGTACATGTAAAATTGTTTTTTAATGTGTATGAAGCAAACCGCTATCTTAGAACTAACATGCTGGTTGCGGAAATTTGACTTGAAATGCACGTAAAATTTTAGTGTTGACTGTCAGTTTTGTGTTAAAATATGTGTAATTGTTAATCATTTATAGTTTTAGTACATCAAAATGAGGATAAAGTGCAATATTTTCAAAATTTCCATGTAAATACGCAATAGGTGCAATAGTGTCCATTTATGAGACGCCCGCAGTAGTGAATTCTAATTCTCTGTTTTGCGGGTGGCGAAAAAAGGAACTAAAGTTTGTCATACTGCATCACGTTCAAATTCGGTTGAATTGTTAGAATCGTAAAGAATCTAGCGCCCTCGAGCAGACAAACGGAGTTTGGTTGATTCAAATCTCATTCGATGATTTATGCCTATCATGACTATCATTGTTGAAATAGTTAAGTTAGTTAAGTTACAGCCTATTTACGTTCCACTGCTGGGCCTTACCTCACTTCTGAGAGGGTTTTAGGGCAAAGAAGTGTCCGCCACGCTGCCCCTATGCGTGTTGGCGAACTTCACATGTCTTCGAAAAATTTTTTTCTTATTTCTCAGACAGTCAGACTCCCTCACGATATTTTCCTTCACCGCCGAGCACGTGGTAGATCAGCACTTAAAATTGCAATTAACAATTTCATTGACGCCAGCGGGGATCGAACCCAGTTTGCTAGCGGGATCGAACCCGGTTTGCTAGCGTACAGTGAAATTTGAGAGCTAACCATCTGAGCTACCGGGGATCTTCTGAGCCACCACGTTTCTCATCGTTGAAATGAATACACCTTTTTATTTTGTATGTTTTCTATGGAATAGAGTGACAAACGAGCACACAGTCCACCTGATTGTAAGTAGTTGCTGCGGCCCATAGATATCTACATCTATCCTCTATTACAAATGAAAATGCAGATGCGTTGTCACCCGTGAGGACTAAGATGGAATGCCTCATTTCCGGTAAAAGGGCCTCCGGTTCTCTACACTCACGATACGAAACACAGCCAGCATTAAGCTAATATTTCACGCTGGTATTCTGTGGGAGCATGGTCCTTCCCCAGTCAAACCGACCCATTCGTGCAACAACTATACTACTAATATAACTGCAGCATGGCTCTACCACGTATAAAAAATGTTTTAATGAACTAGTACACGCACATAGTGGCATATTTTTGGAGCATAAGAAGTGGGTTCTTTAAAAATATATATCCATAATATTTTTTTATTTCAAGAAGAGATATGTTTATTTTAAATGTTATTATTTCGTAGATATTATTTGTGTTAAAGGAAATAATATATTACCTTTTTGAGAAATAATGTTGCTAAAATTATTTTGGATATTGAAATACAATATAACCGCCGCGCACCCCGCGGCGCCTCTGAACGGCTTTGTCACTCGACTATTATGGCGCATTGAGTATTGTTTACAAAAAACGTTATTTTTGGCTCATTATGTTACATCCACTGGAGTGACCCTTGAGTGGTTTTATGGGCATGAATGAATCTGTATTTGTCTACAAGTGCTGTTGAAAATTGTTAGCTCAAATAAAGTAATAATTTTTCAATAAATATGGCACTTACGGCTAAAATTTTGATATCGGCACTAAGAATACTTATGAAATACTTTATGAGATTTGTAAAACTTCATCATCATCATCATCATATATATTATCAAAATATCCGTGGGATACGAACAAAGACTAATGAAGTGTACAAAAACATATTAGTAAATAGTTATAAGATAATCTTCTTTACCGAAACATGGCTAAATGCAGGTATCTCAGACAGTGAATTCATTGACTCTAGATATGTTGTATACCGTAGGGATCGCTCAAGTGCTTCAAGCTCCAAGATGGATGGAGGCGGGGTATTAATAGCAGTATCCCGTGAAATACCTTCTATGCGAATGTATAACTGGGAAACTGATTGCGAAGACCTTTGGGTTAACATTGGATACAGAATAAATGGCTCATATTCCACTCTTTCTATCTGCGCAGTATACTTACCGTCGCCACCCAGATTGGAGCAACAAAGGGTTTTCGTAGATAACCTGGACAGTGTGCTGAACCATATTGATAATGTAATTGTCATGGGTGACTTTAATCAAAATTTTGTTGACTGGGAGTTTAACGGTGACTGCAATCACACAATTCCTACTAATTATAATAATGATTTAGGACGCTGTCTGGTGGACTGCTTGTCTATGAATAATCTGTACCAATTCAACCATATAAGGAATTCACATGGTAGAACCCTGGATTTGGCCTTAAGTAGTTTGCAATGCCTAAATGTCTCTCAACCCTTAGATTTGTTAAGTAAACTTGATCTGCACCATCCCCCTATACTTATTGAAATATCAGAACTTAATTTTGAATACGACAAAAATCTGCTACCTAAGCCACGTGTAAAACATAATTACCACAAGGCAGACTATGATTCGTTAATCCTGGAATTGAGTTGTACTGATTGGCTTACCATTTTTAAGGACTGTAAGGACGTCAATGATTTTGTCACTGAATTTTACAAAAAACTGAGGAGTGAAATTATCAATCACGTACCCAAATACACATCTAAACCAACTCGGAACCCACCATGGTTTACGAAAAATCTAATAAAACTTATAAAAGATAAGGAAAAACTTAGAAAACGATATGCCAAGTACGGCAATCCTAGAGATAAGTATGAGTACAACCTTCTTCGCGAACGATGCCATAAACTTGTTAATATCTGCTATAATAATTAGATGACAAAAATTGAGTCTAGCATCTGTAAAGATCCGGACAAATTTTGGCGTTTCATCAAAGATAAGCGCAAAGGTCTTTCTGTACTTCCCGCTAAAATGATATTGAAAGATTCAACTGCATCCTCAGGCACCGATATAGGGAACCTTTTTGCAAGTCACTTTTCTTTCGTTTACACCAATAATAGCGTTACCGATGTTTCTCATAGTCATGATATTGCGAACATGAGTAATTCCATCGTTACACTTGAATTGAGCGAGTCTCAAGTGTACAAAAAAATGCAACACCTCAATGAAAAAAGGGACCTGGGCCTGACAACATACCACCCCTATTTGTGAAACGATGTGGATCCGTTCTTGCCTTCCCATTGATATTAATATTTAATCGCTCCTTAAGCGATGGAAAGTTTCCCGATGAATGGAAAAAAAGCCAGAATTATCCCAATTTATAAGGAAAGGTGACAAGATTGATGTTACCAACTACCGACCTATCTCCATTTTATCGTGTTTTTCTAAATTATTTGAATGCCTTGTTTACCCCATAGTCTACAGCCATACTGAAAACATTATATCCGACTTCCAACATGGTTTCAGGCGTGGTCGTTCGGTAGAGTCTAATTTGTCTTCCTTCGTGTCCGCGGTAGCACAGGACGTGGACAGGGGACTTCAGGTAGACGCAATATACACAGACTTTTCAAGTGCTTTCGACAAAGTCGGCCACCAAGTCCTGCTGTATAAACTAAGAGTAATGGGCATAAGTTGTTCACTGTTGCAGTGGTTCGAATCTTACCTAGCAATGAGACCTCAGCAAGTGGCTATGAATGATGTGGAGTGATGGATTTGAATCTGAAATGTTTTTGGCTAAGTCTGGTGTCCCTCAGGGGTCCCACTTGGGTCCTCTACTCTTTTTGATATTTATTAATGACATAGCTACATATATTAAAAACAGTAGTGTATCTATGTTTGCTGACGATCTCAAATTGAGTAGAACGATCAAAAGTCCCGGGGATGCTGACCTTCTGCAATCTGACTTAAACAAACTCATGGATTGGTGTGCAATCAACGGAATGATTTTAAATCCTAATAAATGCTACCACATAAGCTACACCAGAAAAAAGACGCCCCATCACTACTACCTACTCATTGGGTGACGTGACCTTGGCGGAGGTGAGGGAGATCAGGGACCTTGGTGTCTTGTTGGATTGTAAGCTGAAACTGACCGCTCACACTGATAATATCGTCAAAAAGGCTCGTATGTTGGGATTCCTAAAAAGAAACGTGAAAAGCTTCCGATGTGTCCAAACTAAGAAAGTTCTTTTCAATGCACTAGTACGTAGCCACCTCGAATTTGCAAGTGTTGCATGGAACCCAGTTTATAGTGCGTCTTCTCAGCGAATCGAAACGATTCAAAGAGCTTTTACACGCTACCTTGCCTTTTCAACTCCAGGCATATCGCATAGACACCCCTATAGTCAGAGGCTAGCATTTTTCAAAATGACAACCTTACGTGACCGACGTCTCATTGCAGACTTAATGTTCTGTTACACAAGTTACTGCAGAACAAAATCAAAAGTACGCAACTCCTCGATCACATTAAATTAGTTATCCCGTACAGATATCCTCGATACCCAATTCGCAAACTATTTAGCATAACTTGCCACAAAACTAATTTAGGCGCGCATTATCCCCTAACCAGAATATGTAACACATACAATGAAATTATGACCAAGATACCGGACATCGACATTTTCAACGACTCTGCCCGATGCTTCAAAAAAAATTGACCAATTTCTTTTTACCCTCTCAGCACACACTCATTCCTTAGTTAGTTTTTTTTTTATGTAAGTTTTGTTTTGTATTCAGTGCCATTGTGGTGTATTGAGCTGCACATTACGGTAAATGTTGTGTATACCTGTTATTGGCAAACATATTTAACCATATACATTTGTTATTGTGTTGTTGTTAATGTTTAATGTGTTTTGCTGTTGGTGTACCTTATAAATAAATAAATAAATAATTCATCATCATCATTACAGCCCTTCACAAGTCCACTGCTGAATGTAGGCCTCCCCCAAGTAATGCCACAAAGCACGGTCCTGAGCCACCTGCATCCATCGACTTCCTGCATGTCTTACCAGGTCGTCACTCCATCTAGTGGGGGGTCGCCCTACACTACGCCTGCCGGTACGAGGCTGCCACTCGAGAACCTTTCTTCCCCATCGGTTATCGGTTCTTCGAGCTATATGGCCGGCCCATTGCTTTCTAATCCGTTTCAGCTTACTAATCCGTTGGGCTATATCGGTTACTCTGGTTTTACTGCGGATATCCTCATTTCTGAGTCTATTACGCAGAGAAACTCCGAGCATAGCCTTCTTCATAGCTCGCTGAGCGACCTTGAGCGTCCTCATACGGCCAGCAGTGAAGGACCACGTCTCAGATCCGTAAGTCATCACTGGCAACACGCACTGGTTGTACACTTTAGTTTTCAGAGATTGAGGTGTACCTGACGAGAAGATGTGTCGTAATTTCCCGTACGCTGCCCAGCCGAGTTGAATTCGTCGATTGACCTCTCGGTCGAAGTTGGACTTACCTAGTCGGACTATTTGTCGCAGGTAAACGTACTCGTCAACAACTTCGAGCACAGTGCTCCCAACAATTACCGGCATAGGTGTGACATAGACATTAAACATGATCTTTGTTTTGTCCATGTTCATCTTAAGACCTATCTGTTGGGAGACACCATTGAGGTCATTGAGCATAGTGCTAAGGTCCTCCAGCGATTCTGCCATAAGGACTATATCGTCGGCAAATCGAAGGTGAGTGATGTACTCGCCATTGATGTTAATACCGTATCCTTTCCAGTCCAGTAGCTTGAAAACGTCTTCCAACGCAGCGGCGAAGAGTTTCGGCGATATAACGTCACCCTGTCTTACACCTCTCTGCAGTTGGAATAGGTTTCGAACTCTGGTTCTGTACTCGGATAGCCATCGTAGCCCTACTGTACAAACACTTCAGCACTTCGATATACCGACAGTCAACTTGGCACCGCTGAAGGGACTGTAGCACTGCCCAAATTTCGACGGAATCAAAGGCTTTCTCATAGTGCACGTACGCCAGGCAAAGTGGCAGATTGTACTCTTCGGTCTTCTGTACAATCTGCCGCAGGGTATGTATGTGGTCTATAGTACTGAAGCATTTTCGGAAACCGGTTTGTTCGGGAGGCTGAAAGTCGTCGAGTCTGCGTGCGAAACGATTCGTAATGACTCTCGAAAACAGCACGTAGACGCGGCTCAGAAGGGAAATCGGTCTGTAGTTCTTCAAGAGAGCGTTGTCGCCTTTCTTAAAGAACAAGACCACCGCACTTCTGCTCCACGCCTCCGGAGTAGTGCCACCATGGAGGACGGAATTGAAAAGCTTCTGAAGGACTTCAAGTATCGGTGTTCCACCCGCTTTCAGAAGCTCCGCTGTAATTCCATCCTTGCCTGGGGCCCTGTCGTTTTTAAGGTGCTGGAGAGCCATTCTAATCTCGCTCAGACTGAAGTCCGGGATATCATCGGAATAATGTCGGGTAAGACTTGCTCTTGGATCGTTACTCACACTTGCGTGTGGCTCCAACGATGATGTGTACAACTGCCCATAGAACCTCTCAATCTCACTTAAAATCTCAGGTGTCCCGGAAGTGATGCTGCCACACTCAGTCTTCAGCTTTGACAGTTGGCTCTTTCTGGCAGACAGATCTCTAGGAAAGACTTTGGAGCCCTGGTTCCGCTCGATCGTTTCTTTAATACGAGGAGTATTAAAGTTGCGTAAGTCTCGCCGCATTTCATTCATTTCGCACACACGCCGAAGATCTGTCTGTTCAGTTACCTGTATGCTGTCAAATCTGCTGACGACTGCAGCTTCATCTCCCGTCTAACAGCCATTAGATTAAGAGTGTGATCGGAGAGTTTTTGTGTTCTTCTGTGGCGGGTCTTGCAGAACTTAGCTCCGACCGCATGGACAATTTCCACGAGCTTGTCATTCATATCGTCCACTGCATTGCAATCTAGGCACTGAAAGCGGTTACGTAACTCGACCTGAAAGGTTTCGGGATTCTGGATTAGAGCACGAGGGGGACTGGGCGTTGACTTCATTAGACAAGACCTCTCCAACTTAAAGTTTAGGTTCAGTTTGCCTCTAACCATTCGGTGATCGCTGCCAGTTTTCACCCTTGCGATCACTGAGACATCACTGAACAGTTGGCGTCTGGTCGTCATAATGAAGTCAATCTCATTTTTTGTCGAACCGTCGGGGCTCGACCAGGTCCACTTCCTGTGGGGCCGCTTCTGGAAGAAAGAGTTCATCATAAAGAGTCCCTCTTTCTCCATAAAGTCAGCCAGCTGCTGGCCCCTACGGTTCCGTTGCCCTACTCCAAATTTCCCTAACTTCAGCTCACCGCCTTCTCTTGTGCCTAGTTTTGCGTTGAAGTCTCCCATCAACACCGTGTTGTGGGTTTCGAAGGAATTCATGGCTCTAGAAATATCCTCATACATTTCCTCCACCTCCTCATCGGGATGTGCCGAGGTTGGTGCGTAGACCTGTATGACCTTCAGCGAATACCGTTTGGTGATTCTGAGTATCAGGTACGCGACCCTCGTCGACACACTCCCAATCTTTACAACGTTGTTGACGAGAGACTCGTGGACGATAAATCCGACACCTCCTTAGGACAGATCGTCGCCCTCCCGGTGATAGAACAAGTGGCCGTGACCGGACTCGAGGATTACAGTGTCCTCCCCCTCTCTTCTGACCTCAGATAATCCAATAATATGCCAGCGCAACTTGTCTACCTCTTCTTCCAGCTTCTCGTCAGTCCTCAGGGTGCGTGCGTTATACGTTGCCAGGTCGAGTCGTCGTAGATGGCAACCGAACCTCCACCGAAGATTCTTAGCACCTCGGCCCCGCCGTTACCATGGTCGCCACCGTAGCCAGGAATAGCGGGGCCGCCGGGGACTAGGGGCCGTTTGTTTGTGTCGTTGCTCATGTTTGCCATAGTTGCCACGCTTGGCGAGCGGGTTGGTAACCGCAGTTTTTTATTATTTATTGTTGTTATCAGGAAGATGCTGCTGCCCATCTCCTTTCTGTGTCCCTCTGTCGCTTTATACGACACCCACGGGAAGATATGGGGTTGTAAAACTTAGCAAGATCCATTTAAAGATGACTGAATCATGTAAGGAAAAAGAGAGGTTCAACTAGTCCTGGAAATAAAACCACATGTTTCTTCATGAATTTAAGTATATATTTTTAATGAAAAAAAAAAACTAGTGTTATTTTTAAGACCACTCCCCAAATAGATCTTTTCCATCTCTACACTGCTACTATAATAAATATAAATAATAATATAAATTTTATTGACTAATGCTTTATTAATGCCGCATCTGGTCCGAACTACATTCTACATCGGTGTAAGTTGATTGTTGGTTCTTGTAAGCTTATTATTAATGCGGTTTATGATAAAAAATTGTAATGTAACCTATGATTTTGCGCATAAAATATTGTAAACAATAGATTTAAAATTAAATTAAAATAAAATCGAAGTATTAAAAAACTTTGTTTCATCGAGAAATATGACAATTTTGTCTTTAATCAATATTTACTTACACTTATTACTTTGGGACTTTATTTAATTTATGTACTTGTTTATAGGAAATTTCATAGAGAATTCAGAAATGTATAAATATTATAGTATTTGATATATCAAAATCAAGAAATTTGCGTTTAAACTGATTGCGCCCAATGAGCCGTCAATTTTATTAAACAGCTCCGCAGTCAACGGAGTATGACGGTTAAAGTCTCCGCAGCTGAAAGGTTATGGCACCCATGGTTATGGGTGGAACTGAGGTATTCAAGGTTCCATCGTCATAGTTACCAACGGCTACCTCCAGATTAAAATTATTAATTTTTGTTCCAATCTACGCAGCATGAACTTGCAGTTGTTTGCTTGGATTGGGATATAATTTTATTAATTATAGGATCTCAAGCAGATGGCAGCACCTAGCAAACTTTGACGTTGGGACGTCGAGCACCTCAGTCCTCCTTGTGACCTAGTTTTTTGGATACATATACTACATATTATACATAATGGCTTTGAATTTTTATTAAAAATTTAATTTTTTTATAATATAATCTAAACAGAGTTTGGATCACAGTAAACATAGCATTCTTGTTTAATTGAGGTTTGGTGGTCTAATCAATGTCCTTGACAGGGAAAAGAACTGGAAAGGATTTTTAAAGAAGAAGGCGTGATTGATGGTGAAGATAGTGACACTGAGAATAAGCAAGCCGTGGCAGAGCAAGGATCTAAAATCTCTCCTTCAAAGGAACCTGAAGTGATTGGACATTTGGAAACTTCAGGAGAGCTGGTTGTTGTATTAAGAGGGAAGGGCAGAGGCCGTCCAAAAGGTAAGAGGTCACATTTTTATAACTGCACTAATTAAAACACAACAGAGATGGATGAGATATCAGCCAAGCACTAATATGAGTATAGATCGGATATTCGGATGCATATTTACCTTAAGTTGAGATGTTGGCTATTATGGAATGCAATTTTTTATCGAAAAAATCTCGCGATTCCGGGAAATTCAAATTCCGTGACCGTGAGATGCAATAAACCCAGGTTGACACAAATGACAGTTGTTAGTGTTCAAAAATCTGCTGTATAATAAGTTTCATTTTCTGGTTGAGATGTTATCCTAACTGTTCTTAAATTAAAATTAAAATACAAACCTTTCTTAACATTGTCATCTATAGATGTAACAATAATAAATTAGATTTTAAGCAATTAAACTAGCAATTTTACTGACAATAATTATAAAATGATGTAATGCTACTATACAATTTATGACCTTTGTCTGAAAAAAAGTTTTAATTTCATGGGGTATTTATATATTTTTCTCATTTGGTTGGGCTGTATAAATATATAAACGAAAATGATAAATAAACAAATAAAAAATAAAATGAAATAAATAAAAAATGCATAAGTAAAAACACAACCAGATGGACATCTTTGGCAGGAGACCAAACGGCCGAGGATTAGGGAGAAAGGGAGAGAAACCGGCAGACAATGCAGTCGATATCGAGGAGCATAGTCTTGTACATTTGATCCGTCATGGAGTCCCATTACCTCAAATGACCCGCGACTGACGCGAATGAACCAGTATAAGACCGTTCGCGGAGACGACTTTTCTTTTAGTATAAGGGTGGCAAACAAGCATGCAGTCCACATGATGGTAAGTGGTTGCTGTGGAACATAGACATCTACATCTATTCTCGATAACAAATCAAAATGCAGATATGTTGTCTCCCGTGAGGACTAAAATGGAATGCCTCGTGTCCAGTAAAAAGCGTCTCCGTTCTTTACACTCACCAAACAAAACAGCCGTGTTAAGCTGCTTTTTGACGCTGGTATTCTGTGAGAGTGTGGTCCTTCCCCGGTCGAGCCGACCCATTCCTGCTACAACTATACCAGTGATATAGCTGCAGCATGACTACCACGTAAATACTGACTTATCATTAATATTCTTTTAACTGCGTTACAGGACGTATGCGTCAAACGCGCGAACAATGTATGATTTGTGGCATGGTATTTTCGAGTGTGGGACGATATATGTCGCACATCGCTCAACACGGTCCTGTGCTGTATCAGTGCACCCAGTGTGGTGAAACTTTCTCCACCAGGCTACTATTTTGTGACCATCAAACGGAAACTAACCATACAGGGCAGAACATACTTCAGTGTAAGGATGTAACACCTAATAACCAAGAAAGTTTGGTGGGTATACTTTCTTTATACATAAATTTGTTGACAATATAACCCATCATACTATACTCATCCTAATATGGGCTACTTGTTTGCTACTTGTCATAACTGCCTCGATGGTCTAGACTATTTTACAGCAACCATAGTCACGAGGGAGGAGCTGAGGTGTTCGAGGTCCTGATTTCATAGTTAATCACGCCTACTTTCGGATTAATATTATTAGTGTATAATTCTAGATATCGTGTATTATGTGATGGTATAATATAATGTCGTCCTCTTATCCCAGAAGGCATTACTATTTCTGATAAACATGGGCAGTGTATGAACAGGACCTATCACATTGAAATGTACTGTTACCTCCCCGTAGATTGCCTCATAGGGGTATCTTTCCATAGTTGCCACGCTTTTGGCAAGCAAGTTTGGCAACTGCAGTTTTTTTTATTTATTTTTAGTTGTTATCATTAAGACCATCTCCTGATTTGTTCACTACAAATACATGGTAAATTAAAAATTATAATTACTTACATAATACATGGATAGTGAATTTAAATGAAATGATTTTTATTCAGTATATACTTATTGAAAATATTTTTTTATTTACCACCGGTTCGGAAAAAAACCTCTGACCTGGGAAGAACCAGAGACTTTTTTTTAAAACATATTTCACTTTACAATATTTTTGTTTGTACAATTTTTAAATTAATTTTTATAGACCTCGCATCGTGGTGATCGCCGTTATTTTCATTTATGTATTATTTAACATTATAATAACTTCTTTGGAATGTGTTAATGCATCCACCATAGAGTCCTAACCTCGCACCCTTAGATTTTCACTTGTTTCGGTCTTTTTAGAATTCTTTGGGCAGTGTTAGCTTAACATCAAGAGAGGACTGTCAAAACTACTTGCGCATTTTTTGATCAAAAATTCCAAGAGTTATGAAACAAAATGACATTTTAAGATTTAAAAAATATTTTGTAAATATAAAAAATATGAAGAATCATTGCCGGGCGACCCCTTGTAAAACCAAATTGATTTGATTTTGCACATTGCTTAAAACTAGTCTTCACGAATTTAATAATTTCGTTGTGCTAACAGAACTGGTATAGATTTAAAATAAAATATTCTGCTTGAAAATCATATAAAAAATTATGTCAATTTATTTCAGAAATCTGAAGTAAAGTCTGAAGAATCATCAACAGAAAAAAGCACTGAAAAATTTCGGGAATCAAATGATTTAGCTTCTGTAGACAACCTAGTGAGTAATGTACAAGCAACTTCCTTGCCTGAAGCTCTGCCCGAAGAATTACCTGATTTAAGTGCTCAGCTGCCAGAAGTGAAAAATGAAGGTCCAAAGGAAGAAAAGAAAACTGAGAGTGTAGATGTTAAAACGGATGAAAATAATGTGGTGGTTGAAGGAAATAGTGGTGAGTGTTAAGGCGTTTCCCCTAGCTAACGACCTTGAGCGTGCAGTCCTATACAATCCACGCGCTCCCGCTACAATATATCGCGTAAAAATACACCCGAATTTTTGGACTTATTTCAATTAAAAAAGAAAAGTGAACTTAAGAAATTAAATAAAACGTGAATAATATAGATTTTTAAATTATCTATCCAATAGTGTAATCCTCAAATGATTAGAGCGTTGCCTTTAGTAACAGATGCATATAATCAATAATTTTAGTCATTTTTTAAAAGTAGATTTTAAATGTATTTATAACAGATAAAAACAAATTAGAATGTGGAATGTGATGAAAAGATATCGAACATTAATAATGTGCTTCTATGTAGCTTATTTTTCATAACTAATAAGATAATAGTCTCTGAAAAACGCACTTTTGCAAGGTTTTGGTCAGGGTACCGCCTTAAGAAATAAATGACAATAATCAACAATTTGATTTAGTTACTTTAGTCACATTTTCACCTGAAACCTAAGAATTTCTCAATGGAAAAACCCAATAACAAATTTTTGGCCCGACCCGGGATTCGAACCCAGGACCTCATGATCGGAAACCGAGTTTACGACTACTAGATTAACAAGGTACTCAATGTAACCTCTATATTATTCTGTGGGGTCGTAAGAGGTGGCAGAGGGAAATGAAACGTGAAAAAGGTTAAAATCAGCAGTTGCTAACCTCCCGCTAAATATGTCAACTATAGTAAATATCAGCCCTATGTGGCTGTGGTGTATAGGTTGTACTAAATGAATAAAGAATTAATTTCGTTTTCTTATTTATTCTCACTTTATGGTTATTATTTCATTATTTAATTGAAATCTACCTCATGTCTATGCTTTTTTTATATATCCAGAGACAACCAATCCATTAGACAGTGAACTTGAAGTGCAAGACGGTAATAAAATAAAATGCAATCAATGTGACAAGACATTTAACAACAGACAAAGCAAATCAATTCATATCAAGGTAATATACACTTTTTTTTTCTAATATTTAGTAGTATTATAAATAAGTTACATAGTGGAATAATACTTATATTTGCCATTTTCAGTCCTCTTACGTCACATTTTAATTTAACTCATAACTTAAGTAAAGCCCTCATAAATAGAAATATACATATATATATATATATATATATGTCTTTCCATCTGATTGCAAAGTGATTGTCTTCAAGACAAAGTTAAAAAGGTTATGGTCAATGTATGTTGCTTTACCATTTTTACCAACATCACCACTCACCACCAGCTGGAGTAGTCAAGCACTGGCTTATAATAGTTAAAACTATTATTTACTTGTGTGACGGCTGCGACCGATTGTTTATATTTTTTTCTCACATATAATAAAGTCAGAAGTGGCTGTTGCTAGGTGATTCATATTAATACGAAGCAGTCCGTTAATTCACGTTTATTTCTACATGAAATGGCAGACAACAACCATGGAACTTCGAAAAACAAAGCACACTCCTTTTTTTTTTATAAATCCTTTGTCATATCAAAGAGAAAAGTAAAGTGATGAGGTACACTTATAGGAAAACAAATCATTTAAAAAAATAATTTATTAAGCTCTATTTAGGTTTAGGTAGTTTCTAGTTTTACCGAATATCAAAAATCAATATTACAATTCTAAAAGCATGAACAAAAAAAACTGCATAACATCTCAAGGATATTATATGTCGGAAAACCATTGCTGTATGGGTTTACGGTACCATTATAGCACAAACTGAGCGTTTTCGTCCAAGCATAAAGTTACAGTGCACCAGTCCACTTGGCCAAAGAAGGCAAGGCCTAGGTAGGCTCGGATACGACCTGTGGTGTCACCATTCACCAATTGCCTGCCACTAGTTAACCATTGGGCTTACTATTTATATTAAAAAGTTCGGTTTTTACTTTTGAAATTTTCTGGTTTGGCTATAGTTAATTTTTTGCGTATTTTTTTTTTGGATTTATAGGCAGTTCATCAAGGTGAGCGACCATACAAATGCACGGAATGTGGTGCAGCGTTTGGGTATCCACGTTCGCTGTCTCTGCATTCAGCCTCACACCGGCGACATAAGACTTCGTCCTCCAAAGGATACGCATGTGACCTATGTGGAAAGGTATTGTAACTAATAGTTATTGCGTTTTTAAAAAGATTTTTAAGAAGATCCCACTTGCAATAAAAGTGGGAACCGAATTATTAAAAAATTAATAATTAAAAAAAATTATAAAATATGTACTTAAAACTTAAAGGATGCAATACAAATACTGTAAAGTTAAGAAAATATGAAATTGATACCAAATTAAGATTAACAACATGCCAAGGCACGAAAATTTCTTTGACTAATTTATGAGTAGGTTATCATTTATCGGTCGGATAATCGGGCGCTTATTTACCTAAAGTTTACATGTTTTAGCATTAAAGGAAAATTATTATGGACATGCTTTTTTGAATCGGGAAATACGGGATTGCTTGAAGGTCCTGAAATTAAAAATGTTACCTACATATAAATATTTCATAGGACCAATTGTTAATTTGATTAGTTTTCTTTTAATTTCATTATAGTCAAAGAATTTACAAAGAAAATTTTTACAAGTTGTTTGTCTATTCTAGAACGTTGTACGCCTGAAAATTATGAAAAAGCGTTAATTTGGTTTTTCTTTACCGCTTTATTTTAGTCTAAAATGCGACTTATTACGAAATAATGTTCTTATATAGCACGCGGTCTATCCAATGAACGACCTGTATTGTAACGTGCTACGAGATGTAGCGTGCTGCAAAACTTAACGTGCTTGTCGGACTTCTACGCGATTTCTTATAAATAGCGCGCTGTAACATAGCGTATTTAATAGCGCGCTAGAAACTTATAGTTTATAGTCTGTAGCGTGCTATTGATTTATAGTCGGTCTGAACAACTTTAGTTAAAATCCACTTATATGTTGGAAAAGTCGAGTCCATTAGTCGCAGCTAAGCTTGTCGTTCTAAGCAATGCAGATATTATCCAGTTCACTATGCAAGTTAAGAACCGTTGAAAAGCAAAGTCGATAGAAAATGAAGAGCAACAAAATTAAAGTTGTTCAAAACTACTATAAATCAATAACACATAGCACGCTACAGACTGTAATGTCGTACGGTTGTTAAATAAAAGGAAAACGTGTTTCTCTACTCAAGACTTTAATTATACTGTTCTTATTCTACACTTAACACAAATATATATAATTTCGTGGAGCCACACTACACCTCCCACCAACAAAAACATAAAAAAATAAATTAATACATTTGTTTTTTTTTTAACTTACGAGTATAAAACTAAATATAAAATTTAATTCTTATAAAAATATAAATTATAAAAATTCAATCTTATTATACACCTATTATTTTCTAAACATAAACTACAAAATTAAAATAGGTGGTATTCTATGGGTAGGTCGGGTGGGCAGATCCCCCTGTCCCATATTAATGTCGAGCTCACAGTCTTGTACGTAGATTCGTCACAGTTTATTAGTGATAAACATCTACTTACGTTTAAATATTTTCTTATATTTTTTTTTCACATTAAAAGTGTAGTACATTTTAAACTAAGTCACTTACTCGTAGGCATTAAGTCATTTAGTCACTTAAATCATTTTGTAATAATACGACTTTTCTAGTCTGAACAATAATAACACTCTTCTCATTTTCACATTTCAATATTTCATTATACTTCAAATATTTATTTATTCTTTGTTAACCACTAGTTATTTTCCATTTTACTCCACAGCAATTTGCTATTTATTAAATATTTATGATATTTGTCTCACGTACACGGCTCGGCATACATACATGATCAAGATTATGGGCAATATTGCTATACAATTCTAAAAGAAAACTCTCACTTCCCTCATTACCAATACATTAAAACTCATCCCGCATTTTATAGTATCCGAACAACCTTTAAAATTAATCGGTTATTAGGTTTTCCAAACACGCAGCTGATCACGCCGATTGTATGTGGATATGCTAACCCCCGATAATTTTTATTTCCTTTGCTCACACCTACATACTGTCAATACTTTTTATTTATAATTATGTATTCCATATCTTATTCATAAATTTTCGTACGTCTTTCACAAATTTATATCTTATAGTCTAGTATAATATTAAGTTACATTATTATCAGTCAGGAATTGAGGCTCACAATATGGGCACAACAAAATTTAAATCAATTAATTATATACAATATGTAATGAGTTTCAAAATTGTATTAAACGAAGTAAATATTATCATAATCCACACAAGTAAGTACTATTTTAAAGTAATAAATTATAATAGTTTAAAATCTTTAAAAGTTAAACATAATAAAATCGAAAATAAATTACTATATTGCATATTAAAATTAAGAGAACAAAGAAATAATAATGGGGACATAAGTCGTCATCACTACCATAACAACAAACAGATCAAAATACAAATTGCAATCTTAGCAGTGCTAGCGATTTGAGACACCTTTGTTTTAAATTCCAAAGTACGTATACGGAAATGTTTGCGATTACATCAAACTATGACCACACGGTGTAATTCACACCTAATTTTAAGATAACAATATATTATAACATGAATATAAGTATTAATTTAACGTTGTTAGAAATATTATGATGTTAATTATAGCGTATACAGAAAAAATTAAAATATCACTGTAATAGTTATGTAACAAAACATTAATTTATTTAAACATTGAGAAGAACAATTTTGATATCTATAGTCAACCCTATGGATTTGGTCGGGGATCCCCTTATTACCTTGTATTTTTGTAGATTGTTAGGCCTTTTTATTATCATTTCTTTTCATAAATCTTGTACGTACTTTCTCTTTTTTTAATTAATATTTTGACATTTAGCTAGCTTTATTCCTCTCTAGTCACGCATATATGTATTTATTTATTAAATATCGGGAACCGGAGTTTCAATTCACTTCAATTATATTTCATTTCATGACATTTATCATGCGGGTACTTTATACACATACATATGGGCCCCCCATTTACTTGGGTATTTTAATCATTTTATTTTATTGGTACATACATTTTTTTTTCATACTGTATCAAGGTAATATATTGGGTTGTGCGCACAACCTTGAGGTGTACGTTTTTTAAGTCACTTTTAAAGGACTCCAACAATTGTCACAGAGGAAAACTATGTTCGCACCATGATCCAACGAAGGATGTGACCTCAATGTACCATTATTAAGGGTAACAAATTTAAGACTTCTCTGGTCCCCAACAGTACTAATATGAATCAATCACTTGTACTGAAGGTATTGTTCCCTAGTACCCGTAACTCCTTATTTTATCATCCTATCACGGAAGCATACCCTGCTTGAGGACTATATGCTTTACCAGTGATGGACTTTCCCGTATCTCTCCATCATTTATTTCTCAAGGTCATCTTTTCTTATTATCTTCATAAATATTTGTCTGTATCGGTTACTTTTATATTATTTCAATCTCATTCTATCGCCTTTCAATTAAGCATATCGGTTTATTAACATAACCAGATTTTGGGCCCTAAACATTGGCTAAGATAATGTCCGATAGCCTAATTCCTTCATTCCAATAACTAGCAAAATTATTGCATAGTTCCTAATAATTTATCTAAACATCACTTACATCATCCTACATATACATTTGAAATCCATACTATTATATAAGTATTCCTTTCTTTGCCGCTATCTTCAACTTTCACACATCCATATCAAAACCTCAACATTTTCATACAGTTTCCTTTCTATAAATTAACTTAACTCTTTTTTTCCTATCCTTTCTTTTACTCTTTTATGCAAACAGTTTATACTTTTAAGGCACAAACAATTGTTTTTTCCATACTACATAAACTATATGTTTATAATACATAATTAATCCTATTTGGTATTTTTTTTTTTGTTATATAAGTTGTTTAATATTTGTCCATAAGCCATTAGAGCCATTACCTAAATTCAGTAAAGTATCGAACTACTTTAAAGTTTCGTATTAAAAATAATAGTTTATTTTATCAAGTCTTTTTTATCAGTTGAATACTGGATTTTAATATGAGATAAAGTAAATGAAAAAGTATAAAGTCAATATTTTGAAGGCAAATCAGGACACAACAGTAGTGTATATTAATGCATCTTTCTGTATTAACTACGTGTAATATTCCGATGCCTTAAATGCAAAAGATCACGTCAGCATTGTGTAGAATTTGATGCGCAATGTTAATACAAAGAAAACATGATATTACATTTCGATGAATTCTTAAATAATATCTATATAAAATATTGCAATTTTTATTATTAATAAAATATATCAGTTTGCGTTATTAAGTTAAGCTGCGTTTTAAATTAATATTATTCACTGATCAATTTATCTTTTACAAAATTTATTCATTGAGTTGTCGTTTATCTGATAGCAATATAATAAAGTTCTTTTTTTTTCATTCATTATGTTAAATATTTTAGAACAAAATAGATAATTAAAATAAGCACGCTAAAATAATAAGGATATTATATAGGCACTTGCTTTCTATTGAGAGTGTTCGGTAAAAAAAAAACAATCTAAATATGAGTGGTGACTAAAGTTATTATATTTTTAATTTTATGAAATTAGAATTTTAAAAGAGATAAATATTTAAAATTACTCACCTTAAAATATAATCATATAATTTGCATTTTATACAGTAATTGTTTTGCAGATACATCAAGCATATTTTTCACATTATAGTCTCTATTAATTTTTTTTTGTTTCTTGCATATAACATACTTTCTGTTTTCTTGTAGATGGAGTACACGAAAAATTCAGTCCTCCTAAAAACTGGCCACTCGATTAAATTCTTGATAATTTTATGTTTTGATAAATATCCCCTTTTTTGTTTCGCTTGGTTGTTACGAGTTTTTGAAAATTGTGTATATATCTTGATAGTGTAAAATTTCCTATGTGAACACCATTGCGTACTTCAATTTAGATCTTCTCAACCAATATTTTTCTTATCCGGAGTGAAAAGTTATTTCTCTTATCCTTTTTGATGTATCTTTGCCTTTTGATTTTATACTTCTTATATTTTAATTTCATTTTGTAAATATTTATTCACAATGATATAACTTTTTGATGGCTGGCTCTACACGACTTTAATTAATTTTCTCAATCCGGGAATGTGTAATAATTTTTAATATACATTTTTTACGTATTTATTATAATTTTACTATCGGTGGCCAGCCGGTGCACGCAGCGAGCGGAGTCGCGCGCGCACCGACTGGCAGGGTCGCCATGTAATGTCGTCATCATCATCCTCTAAACCATTTCCCATTATCTGGGGTCGGCGCAGTAAATCTTCTTGTTCCATTCCTCTCTATCAGCCGTCATTTCCATACTCACTCCTTTCATTCTCATATCACTCTTCACACAATCGATCCATCTTTTATTCGGCCTTCCTCTGCCCGTGTGTCCCTCCACATTCATATTCAACACTCGTTTTGTGACATGACTTTCATCCCTCCGCATCACATGCCCAAACCATGCCAATCTGCTTCCTCTCACCTTTTCTACCACTGGCGCTACTTTCAGGCTTCCTCTTATATACTCATTCCTTATCTTATCCATCCTTGTCACACCACACATCCATCGTAACATTCTCATTTCATTCGCATGCAGTCTATTTTCATCCTTCTTCTTGACGGCCCAGCATTCACTTCCATACATGACGACAGGTTGGATGATCGATTTGTAAATTTTCCCCTTCAGCCTTATTGGCATTCGGGGATCGCACGTTGTGGCTGTGACCTGTCGCCATTTCATCCACCCTGCGTTAATCCTATGCTGCACAGCTCTATCTATTCCGCCGTCGCCTTGAATGAGGGAACCGAGGTACTTGAATTCTGAGCAGGTACGCAGTATAGCGCCATCCAACGACATGGGTACAGGACTGGAAAGACCGCCGAAATCACAGCACAGATATTCGGTTTTGGATCTGCTGATCTTCAAGCCAACACTTTCCAGCCTCTGTTGCCACCCCGTCAGTCTGCTCTGTACCTCGATGCCTTCTTCCCCGACAAGCACGATGTCATCGGCAAAGAGCATGCACCAGGGTGCCTCATCCTGCAGGTCCGACGTCAAAGCGTCCATAATCAGTAGGAAGAGGTAAGGGCTCAATGCCGACCCTTGGTGCAGCCCTACCGCCACATCGATACTGCCCGTAGTTCCCGCGGCAGATCGTACACATGTACGGGATGCTCTGTACATAGCACGGACTAACCTCACATACTTCCCAGGCATACCTTTCATCTTTAACGCCCACCACAAAACCTCACGGGGAACCCGATCGTACGCCTTTTCAAGGTCGACAAAAACCATGTGCAGATTTTTATGCACGCGCTTGTACTTTTCGCACAATTGGCGTAATGCGAAAATGGCATCTGTCGTACCTCGACCGGGCATGAATCCGAACTGGTTTTGTGTTATCTCACACTCTTCTCTCATTCTTTTCTCTATTATTCTTTCCCAGACTTTCATCGTATGTGACATGAGTTTTATTCCCCGGTAACTGCTGCAGTTTTGAACGTCTCCTTTGTTTTTAAAAATAGGAACCAGTATACTACTGCACCATTCCTCAGGTATTTGTTCTTCCTGCAACAATTTACCGAAAAATAAACTCAACCACTTCCATCCATCCGCACTCAGCAACTTCCACACTTCTACTGGTATTCCATCTGGGCCGACCGCCTTCCCATTCTTCATATTCCTAACAGCCATTTTTACTTCTTCCACACTAATTTCTCTCACTAAGCCCATATTCACTGGTGGGTTTTCAAGCATACCATTCCATTCATTCTCCTCATTCATCAATTTCTCAAAATACTCCTTCCATCGCTTCTTTATACTTTCATCGTCAGTCAAAATCCTTCCAGAATCATCTTTTATACATTTTACATGTGAAACATCTCTTCCATTCCTTTCTCTCGCTTTTGCAATTTGAAAAAGTCGTTTTTGACCTTCAGGGCTTTCAAGGGACCGATATAATTTATCTTGCGCCTCTGCCCTACAAATAGCAACTTCCTTCTTTGCTCTCTTCTTACATTCTTTATACGCCCCTCTCTTACTTTCTTTTATGGAATCATTCTGGTCTTCTACGCTCTGCCATTCTTTAAAGGCATTTTTCTTTTCTCTCAAAACTTCTCTAATACTTTCACTCCACCACCACCCATCCTTATCTATCATACGCTTCCCTTTTGTTTCTCCTAACACCTTCCTGCCACACTTCGGATACAATCAGCCATTTCCTTCCAGCACTCATTCACACTCATTCCTTCCATATCACCCATCTCTATCATCTTGTTTACAACTAGCTCTCTAAATTCACTTGCATACTCCTCCTTATGCAACAAATGCCACTTTATTTTGGGTGGGGGACGATCCTTATGTTTGTTGAGGCGAACAGTTAAGCAGATGTCAGCCAGCAGAATTCGGTGCTGGGATACTAAGTCTTCACCTGGAAGCACTTTGCAGTTTTTTACACTCTTGATTTGGTTCCGTCTTATCAGAAGATAGTCGATCTGTGTCGCGTGGTGGCCACTTTTATAAGTAACAAGATGCTGATCCCGTTTTTGGAACCACGTGTTTACTACAGCCAGGTCGAAAGCACATGCTGCTTGCAGAAGAACTTCCCCCTCACGGTTCCGCACTCCGTACCCCCATCCACCGTGTACTCTTTCATACCCGTCATTCACTCCCTACATGTCCATTAAAATCTCCTCCCATATAAACATCCTCACTCTCAGGTATTCCCATCATCATACAATCAAATTCCTCCCAAAACTTCTCTTTCACACTCTCTTCACAGCCTGTTTGCGGAGCATACACACTTACAACATTCACTACCTACGCCATGTAATGTCGTACGGTTGTTAAATAAAAGGAAGACGTGTTTCTCTACTCAAGACTTTAATTATACTGTTCTTATTCCACGCTTAACACAAATATATATAATTTTGTTGAGCCACACTACAGACTATAAGCTATAAATTTATAGCGCGCTATTTATAAGAAAGCGTGTAGGAGGCCGGCTAGCGCGTTAAGTTTTACAGCACGCTATACCTCGTAGCACGTTACATTACATGTCGTTCGTTGGATAAACCGCGTGCTATATAAGAACATTATTTCGTAGTAAGTCGCATTTTAGACTAAAATACAATAAAGCGGTAAACAAAAACCTATGAACACTCTTTCCTACTTTTCAGGCTTGCGACATTCTATAATAGATGTTAATGTTATTTTTACCTTAATTTAAATTATAAATCAATCAAAGGCGTATTTAAAGGTTTATTGATTGTATATACAAAAATCAATTATTTACATACACTATTACATACATTTTTGTATCTATATTTTATTTACATTTAAAAACATTAGTTAGGCTACTTTTGTAGTTAACTATGATCTTCGATCACTTATAATTATACAGTATGTACACGAACTAAACAACATGTAACTCTAAATTAGGTCGCGCACGATGAATAGCGTGCTACTGATCAAATTTGCGTCACACGTCCACTCACAACTAGTGGCCGCTTGATACTAATACTTAATAGCGCCAAAGCGTAATAGCGCCCTGGCGACTACATACATAGCACGTGCTATGCGCTATATTGACCACCATTGTACAAAATACAGCACTCGAACTCGACAGACAAGCGACCATAGATAATGCACTATATAGGGCATAGATGAGCCACTCTGACAAATGATTATATGAGTAACGAAACGAACGGATACTAATGCAATTCTTGTTTCTTGAGCCCATTACATCCTAATACGCGAGGCCAACCAAGAAGTCCAATGATCATCGGGCAGCCGATAAAAGTTTTCATTTCTGCAGTCGTAGAATTTAATGATTTTCTAGTTCTAAAACTATTATTAATATGTCCTAATGTATTTAATCAGTTTCTATGTCCGAGTGTACCAAAATTAGGACATAAACAATAACTAAATACTACTGACATAGATTTGAAAAACTCAGGGGAAATATACCTCTTAAAATATTCGTAGCTACTGTGAAGTATGGGGTAGTGTGAAGTAAGGTTTAGTCTGTTCCAACGAAGGGTCACTCACATTATTATTAAAATCCTCCGTAGAGACCCATGTTAGGTGGCGGTTTTTAGACCTTGTGTAACTATTTTGTGCAAATGATGCTAATGGCTCATCATCAAAACTATCCCATTCTTTCTCGGACGATTGGGGGACCACATCTTCAATATCCTCAGGTCTTATTTTTAAATCTTCTTCAACGTCATTGTCCGCTAAATCTTCACAATCAGGCTCTATAGTGTACACCAAAAACTCGAAAATGATGCGATCGTCCCGTAACCCTATAAAAAACATTTAAATCACTTAGTGCCCAAGGCGTCAACTATGATATTTTTAAAAAACGTAATTAGTTAGAAGTTCAAACCATTTTACTCTTATTTTGGTGACTAAATTCGTTTAGACAACTGAATTCTTTATTCAAAACCAAAAACAGTTATTTTTATGGCTAAAATAAATATTTATCTTGTCCAAAACTCGGCATGTCGATTGTCGCACAAAATTTTCTTTTTAAATGGTAGTGATAGTGAACTGTACAATTTCCATACACAATGAGCGATAGTCACCTGTAATGCCTATAGCTTGTACTTTTTATCGACAAAAGATTAAAGAAAAAGCGTTATTTCCATAAAATATTGCTAGATGGCGCTATTAAAAAATAAACATCCAGGTAAGGTGATAACGGGGGTCAACAATTTAGCTTCCCTACTATGAAATCTGTCAAATATTTCACCTCATTCCAAAGTGGCGCCGCCCTGATGGCGGAAAATGTAGTGGATGCCCTCATTGTGTGTTGTGGCAGGTGCTGAACCACCCGTCGTCGGTGGTGTACCACAAGCAAGCGGCGCACGCGATGCAGCGCTACGTGTGCGGCACGTGCGGCAAGCGCTTCCGCCACAAGCAGCTGCTGCAGCGCCACCAGCTGGTGCACTCGCAGCTGCGCCCCTTCACCTGCAAGGTGAGCGCACGGGAAATTAACGCGTCTTATCATGTCATGTGTAGTTGAGCCAATTAAGAAATTTAAGTAATGTAAACACTGGATACATAAATAATATATACTGTAATATTTGGTCTATTGGGTTTAAAGTCTTTTTCACGAAAGAAGTCCCACTGTGGAAAGTAGCTGTAACGTCACAGTTATGCGTAATTGGACATTATTTACGGTCAAATTCCATATCTTACATTTTACTTCTCGTATTCTGTACATATTTAATAAATAAAATCGGTCCTTGTTCAAACCTGAGACAATTATAAATATATTTTTGTATACGTAGACATATTGTATACAGGCTATAAACTAACTAAATACTCTAGGTATTTCAAAGAAAAAAACGCGGTCAATATGCAAACTTAAATAAATAGTACGAAATTTGACAGCAAATGTGACTTCTTTCGTGAAACGTGAACTTATAAATTACTGATATTGCTAATACCAAAGCGTTTTGCATATAAATTATAATTCCTCCAAATCAGCGTAACAAATTACAGTTTCAGCATTGAAACCATAGACATAAATATGTTTTCATTACTCTACTTCTAGTCCTGCAACGCTACATTCAAGACGAAGGCAAATTTGCTCAACCATCAGCTACTGCATACTGGCGTAAAGAAGTTCAGCTGCGAGATCTGCAAACATAAGTTTGCACACAAAACAAGTCTTACTTTACATATGAGATGGCATACAGGTTAGTATGAAGGGGAAGTTATAAGATTATCTGTTAAGATTTCAAGTTTAGGACAATGCTTTGCTTATTAATCTGTTCTGTAATGATATCGTGGCATTTTAAATATCTTGTATATGCCAGACATAAAATATCCAGAATATGAAAAGTGGCAAATCAAAGATTAGATATATTTAGAACTAAGATTGATTAAAACTACTTTTACGGATTATATCGCGTTTAATTTTACTTTTAATTATTTTTATTTTTAATTCCCGACGTTTCGGGTGCTTTCCAGCACCCATGGTCACGGGGGACTGAGGTGACTGACGTCCCAATGTCATTGTTAAACCCGGAGTACCTTCAGCTTTTTTAATTATTGTTTATGATCCGATCTATGCAAAATGAACTGACTATGTCCAGAGGTCTTGCAGTGGTATGCTTGGGTTTAGTTTTAATTTTATTGATTATAGGATCCCAAGCAGGTGGTAATACCCAGCCGCCTCCTCTATTGAAATTAGGATGTTTTTTAATTTCAATAGCCTCACGTATCATCCTTGGTAATAATCGGTGTTCTTTCGCGAGGATTTGTGGTCTATCAAATCTGATGTAATGGTTGGGGCCGTCTAGGATATGATCTGCAGTTTGTGATGAATGTTGTGTTCGAATACGTTATATTGTAAATAATCGAATACTGATGAAGGGCAGGAATAAGAATTAACTGACTCGAATGAAGTAATGTTATTTCTATGTAATAAACAACTTTTACTACAAACAATTTTACAAGATGAAATTAACTACGAGAACAATGTAAGTTAACTGATATAAGTAGCGCGTCGCGTCCTGTTACTATGCCGGTTGCAGGCGGAATGAACGTGGCACATTCTCGCGCTCTGTTGGCGCGGTGTTTTATCTTATCAATGATTTGCATTGTTCCCTGGTTGTGGCATCGTCCGCCGGTTTCTTTCCCTTACCCCCTAACCCTCGGCCGTTTGGTCTCTCCTGCTGAGGGCCTCCATCTGTTGGGCTTTTATTTATTTATTTATGTTAGTATATGAAATATATGTTTAGGTATATTTATCATTTCCTTTTATATATGGCCCAACCATATGAGAATACACTACAAATACCCCATAATAATAATAATAATCCTCCAGACCGAATTTCGGTCACGGTGGCCTGCCTCAACGGAGGCTAGCCATCGGCGCAGGACAAGATTATAGTGCCCAACTGTATGCGCAAGCACAGTTGCACTCTCTATTCCCTCACTCTCATAATCCGATGGGACGGTAAACCGACACAACCGGAGAGAGATCAGGCGCAGTACCAACGGCTTTACGTGCTTTCCGAGGCACGGGGGTGAGACACCGCCAACTTTGTGACTCCGGGCAGCTACTGAGAATTTCTTGACAGAAAAACTCAATAATTGATTTTTTTGGCCCGATCCGGGATTCGAACCCAGTACCTTATGATCAGCAGTCGCACTACTACAACCACTACACCAACGAGACAGTAAGTAAAAATAATATAATGAAGAAAATTAATTAAATAATAAATATAAATATATATACCTGAACTGAATAAAATATTTTTGACTTGGACTTTGACAGAACGATATTCGTCGTGTTTCTCTACATTCCAGTATTATATTTCTTTCTCTTTCATCGTTATTTTGACTCATGATTCTTTATTTCTCTCTATATATTTTTAATTCCTTTTAACACATTGCAGGGGTGAAACCGTACTCGTGCAAGGAGTGTGGGAAGAGCTTTAGCCAGAAGGGTAACCTGTCGGAGCACGAGCGGATCCACACAGGCGAGAAGCCGTACCAGTGTGCGTCGTGCCCGCGACGCTTCACCACGTCTTCGCAACACCGCCTGCACGCGCGCCGCCACGCGCCCGACCGGCCCTACGCGTGCGCGCTCTGCCCCAAGAGGTACCCACCGCGTACCAGCGTGTACCAGAGCGCGTCGTGCCCGCGACGCTTCACCACGTCTTCGCAGCACCGCCTGCACGTGCGCTGCCACGTACCCGACCGGCCCTACGCGTGCGCGCTCTCCCCCGTGTACCAGCGTGTACCAGTGCGTACCAGCGCGTATATCAGTGCGTACTAGTGCGCGTGTATCCGCGCTGCTTCACCACGTTGTCGCAGCATCGTCTGCTGTAGCATTGCACTGCATTATGGAAGGGCATCGGATCGTATTCGAGATTTGAACAAAGTGATAAAACGACGAAATTATTATGCCATTGAAATCGTGTTTGTTATTTTCTTAGTAAAACCATTCATATCACGAGCATTTCTAAGCTAGCTTAGAGTGTTTTGACGGAGTATAGTAACGATATAATATTAGATTTACACTATTTCACTAAAACAGACTGCAATTATAATGGGATTTACCATTCATTCCTTCTAGATTCAAAATGAATGAAAACAATGTTTAATAAATTTTATACAGAATGTTCCAAAACTCGACGTCAACCCGGAACCGAGTGAAAAGACAAGTCATGCTGGTTGTCAGAAAAATAAAAAAAATCTATGTCAATCGACAGTCTTTTCACTCCTGTTGCTACAAATCTTTACTTTTTCCAACTTTTTGTTGTTGTTGTTTTTTCCGGTACTCCTACTCACTCGGCGTAGTCCCGAAATCATGGAAGACAGCCCTCGTGCACCCGATCCCTAAAAAAGGTAACCGCTCTGATCCGTCCAACTATAGGCCTATCGCCATCACCTCCTTGTTCTCTAAAATAATGGAATATATTATTAACAGCCAGCTCATACGGTACCTAGAGGATCACCAGCTGATTAGTGACCGCCAGTACGTACGGTTTCCGTCGCGTTCGCTCGGCTGGTGATCTTCAGGCTTACCAAACTCGTAAATGGGCGGAGGCAGGAGAGTCCAAGGTTCGGGTTTCGATCGGGTTTGGCACAAAGCGCTTCTTACGAAGCTTCCTTCCTATGGATTTCCCGAAAAATTGTGCAATTGGATCACCAGTTTTCTTGCTGATCGGATCATCAAGATCGTAGTAGACGTTGCATGCTCCAATTACAAGCCCATTAACGCTGGTGTTCCACAAAGCTAGGTGCTATCACCAACGCTGTTTCTTCTGCATATCAATGACATTGTTGCAAACCGTTAACATTCATTGCTATGCAGACGACAGCACTGGTGATGCTTTACAAACCGACCGTGCCAATAATCCTCGGGAAAACGTCGCAGAGTACCGGGACAAACTTGTGTCTTAAGTCGAAAATTTTTTGAACATGTCTCAGACTGGGAGCGATTAAGTCTTGTCCAGTTTAATCTCCAGAAAACACAAGTTTGCGCGTTTACGGCTAAAAAACCCCTTCGTCGTATCTCCTCAGTTTTAAGGCACTCATCTTGATGCCTCAGCCAGTATCGGAATCCTCGGCGTCGACATGCAGGCAGTGACGTGCAGTTTCGTGGTCACTTGGAGGAGACGGCCAAACTGGCCTCTAAAAAGCTTGGCATGCTCAGCAGAGCGGGACAGTATTTCATGCCGTCTCACCGCCTGCAACCTTACAAGGCGCATGTTTGGCCGCACATGGAATTCTGTTCCCATCTCAAGGCCGTAGCTCCCTAGTGCCAGCTCCTTCCATTTGATCGCATCCAGCGCAGAGCTGTTCGAATCGTCGGCGACCGAGCTCTTTCCGATCGGCTTGACTCACTGGCACTTCGAAGAGATGTTGCATCTCTTTGGTATGTTATCGCATCACCCACGGGGAGTGCTCTGAGGAGTTGTCGGACTAATTCCAGCCGCACAATTTCATCATAGCACATTGCGACAAAACTCGCGATACCATCCATACCATCTAGTTGACTGGGAGTCCACCACCGTGCGATTTAAAAGAAGTTTTCCGCACAACTTCCTTGTGGAATCGACTACCACCGGAGATTTTTCCGAATCGATACGACTTAGGGACCTTCAAGAAAATAGCCTACTCCTTTTTAAAAGCGGCAACGCATCTGCAATTCCCCTTGTGTTGCAGTTGTTCATGGGAGGCGTTAATCACTTATCATTAGGTTAGCCGTATGCTCTTTTGGATCCTCTCTTATAAAAAAAGTTCAAAACCAGCTGCTCTTGCTTGCATAAAAATAGGACTTATTTCCTAAAACAAATTTTCAAAATAATTAATTGCATAGCTTTTACTAACTGTATTGAAAGGAAATTGTACTATACGAATTTGGCAAGTAGCGTCAAAAGTTGGCGCATTTAAGTAAGGATTCCAAAATGGTATAACCCTTGGTATATTGTAGCTGCAATCGTGGACAATTTTTTTTTTCGTAAAAACCCAGTTTTAACAAGTTTTTCTCACTTGATTAAGAATATTCTAATGTACCCAAGGCTTTCCAAAGGGTCGCAAATTGTAGCTTGAAGTCAAGGAGTCATTCATTCTAAAGAAGTGTAAGCGAGACGCGAGCTAGCGAGAGTCACTTTATCAAGTGCGAGCGAGACTGGTATGGACGCAAAAGTGGCTGAGTTGGAGAAAATCGCCTTACCAAGTGCGAGCGAGACGGACTGTGACGCCAGGTATTCGCTATTGTACTTACACATCACAAATCAGTACGTTACGCTCCTTCGTTTACTGCGGTTGTTTTCGTATTCGTTTCTATATTGATTTCGTACTGACTGTTTTTGGCTTCGTTTATGGACTTTCGAAATTTTGAAAACAGTTTAGAGAAGCATTATTCAAGGCTTCACAACAACAAAAAAGTTGGAAAAAGTAAAGATTTGCGGCAACGGAATTGAAAAGACTCACAGGCTGTGAAATTATTTAAATGACTATAATTTTGAAAACATGCAATTTTTTAATATGTCTGCCAACCAGTATAACTTGTCTTTACACCCGGTTCCGGGTTGACGTCGAGTTTTGGGACAGCCTCTATAAGGTGTATTCACACGTGCAGGTTCAGCACGCGCGGCGCGTTGATGACGCACGCGCGGCGAGAGGCCGGTGCGAGCGGGCGGCCGCGCGCCGCTACCACCGCGCGAGCGCAACGCGCACGCAAGGTACCCTCAGCGCTAACAACACCACTGAGCTTGCCCCGTGAACAGGTAGTGAGGGACACAGTGCACAATCACCAATATTTACATTTTTTATTTAGGTACCGCAAAATACATAGGTAATAGTACACGTACTAAAATTCACACCTTAATATCATTTAAAATAAATAACGAGTCTTGCTAAGACACAATAAAGTGCAATTCAGGTTGCACCTCCGTTTCTTAATGCACTTTTTCATTCGTGCAAACCAATCATTAACAGTAATTCCAGTCTAAAGTTGATGTTGACAAAATGGCTGATTTGTACGCTTCCACAGCTGCTTCGGGGTCTTCAAACCGTTGATCGCCTAATAAATCTTTCATTCTAGGGAATGTAAAGAAATCGTTCGAAAGGGCTTAGGTCAGGACTTTTTTTTATAGAAGAGGGGGCAAACGAGCATGCGGCTTACCTGATGTTAAGTGACTACCGAGGCCCATGATCAACCGCAACACCAGGGGAATTGCAGGTGCATTGCCGGCCCTTTAGAAAGGAGTAAGCTCTTTTCTTGAAGGTCCCTAGGTCGCATCGGTCCGGAAAAATCGCCGTTGGTAAACTATTCCACAGAGAGGTCGTACGCGGAAGGAAACTCCTTCTGAAACGTACAGTGGTGGACCCCGCCAAGCATCCAGATGGTGTGTATGGTATCTGGACGTTTGCCGCGTAGTGCGTTCACGAAATTTGGGGGCTGGGATTAATCCGAACAATTCCTCAGAGCACTCCCCGTGGTATATTCGAAAGAAAATGCAAAGAGATGCAATATCTCTTCGCAGCGCCAGTGAATCGTGCCGATCGGAAAGCACTCGGTCGTCAACGATCTTGTGTCTTCTGAGGGTTAAACTGGATTAGATTTAGTCGCCCCCAACCCGAGACTTTGTTCAGCAAAGACTCGACTTCAGACACAAGTTTGTCCCGGTACTCGGAGACGTTTTCCCGAGAACTAAAAAGGTAGATACAGCGCGGCCTTTGTTATTGGTGAAGCCAAAAAATTCCGCTCCTTTATGTAAGCACACGCGTTCACGCACACACATGCATCAAACTACGCTCATTTTCGCTCAGTACTTCCCGGGGCGTCGTGCAGTAAATTTGCCTACAAAATGCCATCCTGTGTAGTAAAATGGTGCAAAAACGATACTAAAGTGAACAAAAAGTCTGAAGCAATATCATTTCACTCGTAAACACTAATTTAACTATATTTTGATTTGTTATTCCAACACAATTTTGAAGGTTATTCGAGGCACGAATGTCAATGTTTCGAGATTACGTAACGGGAGAATGTCGCCAGTGTTTTTATTTCTAATGGTCCAAGATTTGGGTAATTAATTTTAGGCTAAGTTATAAAAATATATGTAGTCAGCATATTTTTTAATAAGTTGTTATTATGTTACATCAAATTGAAGTCAAGGTAAATATTTTATTTTTAAGTCGCTGATGTTTCTGTTTTAATCGTTGAGTACTATTTTACTATCAAAAAATATTTATGATTTTAGGCTACCAACGAATATTTTAATAAGATATGAATTTTTTTACGTAGTAGAGCCATGCTGCAGTTATACTATTAGTAGTATAGTTTTAGCACGAATGGGTCGGCTCGACCAGGGAAGGACCACGCTCTCACAGAATACCAGCGTCAAATAGTAGCTTAATGCTACTGTGTTTCGTATGGTGAGTGTAGAGAACCGGAGACCCCTTTTTACTGGAAATGTGGCATTCCATCTTAGTCCTCACGGGTGACAACGCATCTGCATTTTGATTCGTAATCGAGGATATATTAAGAAGTCTATGGGCCACAGCATCCACTTACCATCAGGTGGACTGTATGCTGGTTTGTCACCCTATCCTATAAAAAAATGAAGGGTAGCTGCTATAAGACTGAGCTGAAATGAACCAAAATGGCAGCCATCCTCTTGACTTAACAGTGGTAGGTGTTAGTAAGAAAACGAATGAAAGGAAAGACAATACTTTATGGTGGGATGATGAGGTACGTATGGAAGTTAAAGCAAAAAAGAGAGCATGGCTAGATTTGTTAGCAATCAAGGCTGGTAATTCCGGCGGTACGAATGATGATATTGAAAGAAAAAAAGGCAGAGTTTAAACGTCTAAATAAGAGAGTAAAAGAAGTAGTTGAAAGAAAAAAGCAAGAAAGAAATGATAAGAATGATAGAATATCGGATAACTTCCAGGGAAATATTAAAATGTTCTGAAAACTCGTAAGAACTGCCAGGGGAAATTAAAAACAGCCTAGATTGAATGTTATACGAGACGAGAATGGCTGTATTCTGAATGATAAAGTTATGAGTTTAAAGAGATGGAAGGAATATTTTGAAAGCGTGTTTATGAGTGTGGAGACGTGTGAATAAAATGAAATGGAAGCTCCAAAAGAAGAGGAAGGAGAATATAAAGAGATAAGTATAGATGAAATAATGAAAGCAATGAAAAGCATGACAGCAGGTGAGGCAGCCGGATATAATAGAGTTTCACTCGCAATGCTAAGGGCTGGAGAGGAAGTGGTGGCAGGCCTGCTGTACACCTTGTTTAATTTATGCTGGGAACTGATGCGGATACCAGAAGACTGGTGCAAAGCCGTGATAGTCCCAATATATAGGGGAAAAGGATCGCAAAAGGACTGTAAAAACGACGCCACCCGTAACCTTCTGTCTCCTGCGGAAGCCCGTCTGGCTACGCTGAATGTATGTGGAGTAATGAATAAGATGGATGAAACATGTGATATGATGAATGATGGAGAAATAGATGTGTTATGTGTAAATTAGACGAAACGGAAGGGAAGGGATGTCACTACTCATGACATGTATACCACGTACTGGTCTGGGGTAGATGAGACCGAGCGGGCATGCCAGGGAGTCGGTATCGTCCTTTCAGTAAGAGAATGGGTCAATGTGTGAAAAAGTATCAATGTGTAAGCCCAAGACCGCTATGGATACGAATGAAAGTGAGCTTAAGGAAATTGTTAGTTCTAGGGGTCTACGCCCCAGACATGTGTAAGCCCACCTATATCCGAGAGCAGTTTTGGGAGGTGTAGGATGGTAAAGATGGTGTTAATGAAATGTAAGGGAAATGAAAATATTGTTATGTTAGAAGATTTTAATGGAAGGGTTGGGGTGAAGAGGCTTGGTTATGAAAGGATATTAGGAACGTTTGGTGATGTAAGTATAAATGAAAATGGTGAAAGCCTCCTCACCGTATGTGTGGAAAAGAATCTTTTTGTGACGTATACTTTCTTTCGTCATAAGAAGATTCACATGTGTACATGGGAAAGAGGTGATGATAAAAGCATAATAGATTTCATAATTGTGGATGAAAGAATGAGGCGTGCAGTGGTAGATACCGGGGTTTACCGGGGTCCAAAGTAGGGACAGATCATTACTTGGTTTTATGCCGAATTAATGGTCTTATCAGACGTTGGCGGCATCAGACATCTGTGTCTACCGTTGCATTAAAGCGTATAAGAACAGAGAGGTTACAAGATGAAGGTGTGAAAAACAAGTACAAATGTAGACTAAAAGAAAATGTAAATGGTTTGGATGAATTGAGTATGAATGATGTACACTTGGAGAAAGTGTGGCATAATGTTAAGAAAGGTTTGGTGGATGCAGCTACCGAAGTATGTGGTCTTAGTAAGAGAACGAATGAAAGGAATGATAATACGTTATGGTGGGATGATGAGATACGTATGGAAGTTGAAGCAAAGAAGATGGCTTGATTTGCTAGCAACCAAGGCTGATGATTCTGGCAGTACGAATGGAAAAAACAGGAAAGAACTGATAAGAAATAAATAACTTTCAAAACAGCCTACATTGAATGCTATACGAAACGAGAATGGCTGTATTCTGCATGATGAAGTTTTGAGTTTAAAGAGATGGAAGAAATATTTTAAAAGCGTGTATGAGAGTGTGAGGAGACGTGTGAATTAAATGAAATGGAAACTCCGAAACAAGAGGTAAAAGAATATAGAGAGATAAGTACAGATGAAATAATGAAAGCAATGAAAAGCATGAAAGCAGGTAAGGAAGCCGGATATGACAGAGTTTCACTCGAAATGCTAAAAGCTAGAGAGGAAGTGGTGGCAGGCCTGCTGTACACCTTGTTTAATTTATGCTGGGAACTAAAGCGGATACCAGAAGACTGGTGCAAAGCCGTGATAGTCCCAATATATAGGGGAAAAGGATCGCAGCAGGACTGTAAAAACTACCGCCGTATCGGCCTTACCATTGTGGGAAAACTGTATGCTAAGGTACTAATTGAAAGAGTAATGAAATAAACTAATGGAAAAGTTTGGGATGTGCAAGCGGGATTTAGAAAGGGAATGGGGTGTATAGATCAAGTCTTTTCCATGCGTATGATCGCGGAGAAGTTTTTGGCCAAAAACCAAAAAGTTTTTTGTGCGTTCATGGACTTGGAAAAGGCTTATGACGGAGTGGACAGGGATATGTTATGGCAAATACTGAACTCATTTGGGTTGAGCGCAGGGTTTAAACAGGCATTGAAGTCTCTTTATAGGGACTCCAGTGCTTGTGTTAGGATCAACGGGGTCTACTCGGACTGGTTTGGCATCCATAAAGGTGTCAGACAGGGTTGTGTGGCTTCCCCGTGACTGTTCAATCTAGTTATAGACAGTTGTTTGGAAAATTTGAAAGTTGAAGAATGCGGGTTAAGAATGTTTGAGGTAACCGTCAAATGCCTTTTGTACGCCAATGATCAAGTTATATTGGCATCGTCGGCGGCCGAGTTGCAAATGATGGTTACATAAATGAACAGGTCGTTAAAAGAAAGGGGAATGAAAGTGAACGCAAGTAAGACGAAAGTTATGATTTTTGAAAGAGAAGAAAGTAAAACGATATGTGAAATAAGAATAGAAGGAGAGTTGGTCGAGCAAGTAGATGAGTTTGTATATTTGGGATGCGTATTTAGCAGGAATGGGATATATGATAACGATATAAAACGACGAGTGAACGCAGGAAATGGAGTTAATGGGGCTCTACGCTCTATTGTGGAAAGTCAGAATGTGTCAAAAAAGGCACGTTTGGCAATACACAATGCTGGGTTAGTCCTTACTTTAACGTATGGTTGTGAAAGTTGGGTGTGGCAGAAGAAGCACTTGAGTAGAATAAATGCAGTGGAAATGCGGTCGTAAAGGAGTATGTTAGGGCTGAATCTGAGTGAACAGGGTGAGAAATTGTGTAATAAGAGAAGAATGTGGTAGCAAGATGACGCTGTGACATGTTGTCCATCCGATCTCTAAAAAATACGACCGATTAGATCCGTCGTCTAACTACAGGCCTATCGCCATAACTTCCTTGCTCTCCAAAATAATGGAGTCCGTTATAAACTGCCAGCTCATGCTGGGTACCTTAAGAATCACCAGCTGATCAGTGGCCGCCAATAAGGTTTTAGTCGGGGTCGATCAGCTGGTGATCTTCTGGTCTACCTGACTCATAGATGGATGGAGGGAGTAGAGTCCGATTTTGGCATTGACCGTAAGTTTGGACATTGCGAAGGCCTTCGATCGGGTATGGCACAAAGCGCTTCTTTCGAAGCTCTCTTTCGAGAAATTGTAAAATTAGATCACCAGCATTCTTGCAGATTTGAGCATCAAGGTCGTTGTAGACGGTACATGCTCCGATTACAAGGTTGCGTCCTATCACAAAAGCTATTTCTTCTGCATATCAATAAACCGGTAACATTAATTGCTATGTGAATGACAGCACTGGTGATGCTCTGTACACCGGCCGTGCCAATATTTCTCGGGAAAACGTCACCGAGTACCGGAACAAACTCGTCTGAAGTCGAGTCTTTGCTGAATAAAATCTCGGATTGGGGGCGACTAAATCTAGTCCAGTTTAATAAAGAAAATACACAAGTTTGTGCGTTTACCGCTAATAAGAACCCCTTTGGCGTATCTCCTCAGTTTCAAGGCACTCATCTTGTTGCCTCAGCCAGTATCGAAATCCTCGGCGTCGACATATCAAGTGACGTGCAGCTTCGTGGTCATTTGGAAGAGAAGGCCAAATTGGCCTCTAAAAAGCTTGGAGTGCTCAGCAGAGTGGGACAGTATTTCATGCCGGCGCACCGTTTGCAACTTTACAAGGCGCAGGTTCGGCCACACATGGAATACTGTTCCCATCTCTAGGCTGGGACTCCCCAGTGCCAGCTTCTGCCACTTGACCGAATCCTGCGCTGAGCGGCTCGAATCGTCGACGACCGCGTCCTTTCCGATCGGCTCGATCACTAACGCAGCGAAGTGATGTTGTATCCCTTTGCATTTTCTTTTGCATCTACCATGGGAGTCTGAGGAATTGTTCAGATTAATCCTAGTAGTCAAACTTCATGAACGCACATCGCAGCGGAGCTCCCGATACCATACACACCATCTGGATGCTTGGCGGTACACCACTACGTTTCACTAGGAGTTTTCTTCCGCGTACGACCTCTCTGTGGAATGGTTTACCACCGGCGATTTTCCCGCACCGATATGACTTAGGGACGTTCAAAAAAAGAGCTTACTCCTTTCCAAAAGGCCGGCAACGCACCTGCAGTTCCTCTGGTGTTGCAGTTTTTCATGAGCGGCGGTATTCACTTACCATCAGGTGAGCCGTATGATCGTTTGCCCCCTCTTCTATAAAAAAAACATCTGAAAATATCTTATTACCTTCCAAAATCGTTTTATTTACTAGAACAGTGATATCACGAACTGAACAGCATGGCGACTAGCGGTTTCGCGCGAAAATTTGAAAACGATAGATTAAAAGTAATTTTTTGGCACTATTAGGTTTAAAAAAAATATATAAATATTTTAGTGGTTCACTCTAGGATCCATTTAAAACACTATGAAAGTGGGTGTAATACCCTCTATTATAGCTCAGTTAATAATAACAGTTAACAATGATGAAATGATTTCTTATATTTAAGGAAAGGTTGAACTAGCTTTGGTATAAATCGACATAGGCGAAGTTTAATTTGCCATAACCCGATACGTTACTATTATCGCGCTTCAAAAAGTAATGTTTACATGCGGTTGTAAGCCATTGCTTAGTTTTCTTAATAGTGCTGTTGCTCTCAAAAGAGTATTTCCATGACATGTCTCATTTAAACTAACTTACGAAATTGAATTTCGCTTTTGATTTGCTAATTTTTGAAAATTAATCTAGCAAAACACCATACCAGAGCAGTGAATGAATATAGTATTTCGAACCACATAAACGGAAAAAACAACTTAAGGCTGCCTTACCACCACCATTGCATCATTTATTTCATAGTTTCTACTTATAGTCCACATGCACAGATATTTAACATAAAATTGTATAATTTTTACTAATCGAGACACCACTGCAATGGTTTCGAATAGATTTAAATATTGTACATAATTTTCATATATATTCAACAGATATCAAAGCAAGTTAGTCTCCTGGTTGCTGACAACCAACAAGGTCTGACAAATGTCGTTAGCGTTCCCCCAGAGGTCGTGAGTGAGTCGCAGACCGATACGGAAGAGGGTGTCATATACATCGCCTACGACGTGGATGATGCGGCACCCTCGCTGCACATACTGGGACACGAACAGGTTTGTAATGTTATCTTTACGTGAATCTAATAAAAAAGTTATAATATTAAAAGCAAAACACAAAGTTAAGCTTTTAATAAAAGATTCTCAAGTGGTGCTAAGACATGTGTATTAAAAACTTAAACAGCTGACTTCAGAAGGTATTATGTAGAAATTTTATTATTTAGAGTTTTTGAAGTCAGTTTTTACTTAATATATGTTTATTATTTTATTTTTACCCTTTTGAGTGTAGTAAGCAATATCCACGAGCTCAACGTAACAACAAGAATGTTGTCTTAATAGATACAATAAAGCTTCATGTTGCTAGATGAATCAATCATATTAGTTCAGAAAATACATCAAAATTGTGACCATACATTTTAAATAAGTATCTTGTGTAACGATGGAAATCCTTTATCGTAGCTACATTCATCTGCTTTGTCCACGGATATATACGGGTGGAGACCTGGTGACCTAAGCCACAGGTTTTGCAAAGTTTAGGAACTAGTTTCAACCTATCAATAGTATTGTTATTAAAATAAAACAACGTATTCGCATTGACGAAAGGCACAGACAACTTTTATTTAAAAACCATAGAACAAACATGTCTACCGACAATGCACGACAGATGGCAGCACTAGTAACATATTGTGTAGATATTAGACCCTTAACAGTTATAAGTAAGCATATTACATTCATTATTGCTTTCTTTAGTGTATATTTTTGGTGCAAATAAAATAATTACATACGTAAAAAGAGAATGCGTCGAATATACAACCCCCTTTCCGTCTTTTTGAAGTGGATTAGAAAGAAATTAAATTTAACACAGACGTAGAAAAAATACCAAAGATGTAAAAGTAATAAAATTGAACATAAAAACATTCATTGATATCCAAAATCAAACTTCTATAGATAATATGAGACACAAGTTAGTGTGGTATGGTATGATTTAATATTAAAAAATGTGTATATAGCTTACAGTCTTTGGTCTAATTTTAAATATACTTTTATAGTATTTTGATTAAAGAGTTAATATTCGCTGAAAATATTTGATTCTCAATATCACTAGTTTTCGCAAATGATATTATTAATGTCTATTAACATAGATCTACTACTAAATGACCATTTTTACCATCTGGAAAAAAAGGTGTAACAAGTAAACGGGGTAGAAGCCTCTGACACTGATATTTTACAAAAACTAAAACCAAAATTTTTAATTTAATAAATAAATCAATTAAAATCTATCGAAAGTCAAATCATACTACTTTACGACCAGCAATAATATCAATGAATTTGTAACTTTTTTTTTGCGCCCGAAGCAATTAAAGGGCTACCCTTTATGTAGGGAGGCAGAAAATGCATTACGCATACCACGATAGCCGGTCTATCGTGGTTATGAGGGACTCACTACCTACCGGGGGAACCTAAGTGTTACCCTCTAAAAACCGTCTTTGGGGACTGGCATCTGGCTGTTTAAGCTTCTTATGCCGTATCGGGAGCGACCCTCTTTTGGGAAAAGAGGGCGCAGGGCATTTGTAACGCGATGCTTTATATTTTAAACAACCGACACTCGAAGCACCCGCGGTAGGTCTCTTTGATGTCCTTTAGAAGGCGCAAGTGCCGCCCGCACCATACCCGCTCCTGCCTTTTCATTTCATTTTCACTTACATGCAATTATTCACGGCGTGAAAATACACCTCTTATGTATTGTTTATGTTTCCGCGTGTGTATCGGCCGCCCGCGATAGTTATCGTAAACATGTACCAATATTTAATGTCGAATTCCTAGCAATGAGCCAAACTAAAACGATTAGTGTACACGGAAGAAATGATAAAAAGTGATAGAGACACGCTTAAAGTTTAACAAACAATTTACAAAGACGTGCTAGTTTGTGTTTAGAAAAAATCGGTGGACGTTTTGAATAATTACTGCGATATCGCTGAAAAGTTAATTTTTATTTGTAAATAACAATTATGTAGTATATTTTTGTTAATATTGTGTAGTTTAATACAGTGTAGTTTGTAAATAAGTTGATTTCGATTTTTAATTACGCTAAGATGTTGCAATATACGGCAGGCATAAAAATTGTTATTAGAAACTGTTTATCAATTCATTATAATGCAAGATAAAATTTAACATATAATTCTACTCAACTACAGCATATTAGCGCAGTGGTGGATACAAGGGTTTACCGGGGGTCCAACGTAGGGACGGACCACTACCTGGTCTTATGCCGAATTAGGGGTTTATTCAGACGTTGGCGGCATAGGACATCTGTGTCTACCACTGCGTTACAGCGTATAAGAATTGAGAGGTTACAAGATGAAGATGTGAAAGACAAGTACAAATGCAGACTGAGAGAAAATATAAGTAATTTGGATGAGTTGTGTGTGAATGAGAGACTTGGAGAATGTGTGGCATAATGTTAAGAAAGGTTTAGTGGATGCAGCTACCGAAGTATGTGGTGTTAGTAAGAGAACGAATGAAAGGAAAGACAATACGTTATGGTGGAATGATGAGGTACGTATGGAAGTTGAAGCAAAGAAGAGAGCATGGCTAGATTTACTGGCGACCAAAGCTGGTAACTCTGGCGGTAAGAATGATGAGAATGAAAGAAAAAAGGCAGAGTTTAAACGTTTAAATAAGAGAGTAAAAGAATTAGTTGAAAGGAAAAAGCAAGAAAGAACGGATAGGAATGATAGAAGAATATCGGATAACTTCCAGGCAAATATTAAAATGTTCTGGAAACTCGTAAGAAATACCAGGGGACTTTCAAAACAGCCTAGATTGAATGCGATACGAGACGAGAATGGCTGTATCCTGAATGATGAAGTGTTGAGTCTAAAGAGATGGAAGGAAGCGAAATATTTTGAAAGCGAATTTATGAGTGAGGAGAAGTGTGAACTAAATGAAATAGAAATTCCGAAAGAAGATGAAAGAGATAGGGAGATAAGTATAGATGAAATAATGAAAGCAATGAAAAGTATGAAAGTAGGTAAGGCAGCCGGATATGATAGAGTTTCACTCGAAATGCTAAGGGCTGGAGAGGACGTGGTGGCAGGCCTGCTGTACACCCATTGAGTTACAATACCTATAGAGTCACAATCTCTAACTGACAATACTCAAAAAATGTCCGAGCGCCGTTCCATATACCTATATATTTTGATATTATATAGTTCAAAATGACATTTGCTCGAATTTAGACGTTAACCTGCTTGTATAATGTTCAAAGTCGCTCGTATGCAATGTCATCATCATTCACTCAAGGGCTTGCGTACGAGCAGGGAACAAGGCATCAGTGGAGACGCTATTTATACTAATATTATTAGGAGTTTATAATAATTGTGAAATATGAGTTTGTGAGTTTATATGTACCTAGGAGAACTAAACAACTGATTTCAAAAATTATTACACCAATTTCTTTTTTAATTTACTTATCATATTAAAAAATCTTATAACACATTTTATAAGATTTTTTATATGATAAGTAAATGAAAAAAAATTGGTGTAATAATTAATAGTATTAATAGCACTAGTAAACCACTAAGGTTTGTGAATTAGGTACTAAAATGCTAAGTATTAAAATGTACGTTTTAGTGTGTATGTATACATTAAGTTTAAAATCTGTAAAAATATTTATTGTATCAATCCACTCCATAGAACCGTTAGAACATAATTTGCGAGTCACTCTCGTACGCGTGACTATTTGTTTCTCTTTTACTCTTGCATATTTGTCTAACGTGTGAAAGAGAAACGTTATCGCGGCGCCGCGCGGTCGGCGGTGAGTGTTTTAGTTTGCTAATAAAATGAAAATTATTGAAATTTAAATGAAAACATGCACTGTGGATACATAAATACGTAAATTTGGTATGATACTTACCTAAAATATGAAACACCATCCTTTTTTCGCACGTGTCTGCTGTTATTTGGGCAGGAAATCACCGAACACTTTGGCATCGCGGACGTTGTACGAGGATTGTGGTCGCCTTACAACTAAACAAAAACTCTGCGCACTTCGCAGCGTGCGCCGAGTTTTGGCGCGGACATTTTATTTGTCTGTTTGTGACTCTATAGGTATTGTAACTCAATGTGTACACCTTGTTTAATTTATGTTGGGAACTAAAGCGGGTACCGGGAGACTGGTGCAAAGCCGTGATAGTCCCAATATATAAGGGAAAAGGGTCACAGCAGGACTGTAAAAACTACCGTGGTATCAGCCTTCGTAGCATTGTGGGAAAACTGTATGCTAAGGTACTAATTGAAAGAGTTATGAAAGAAACTGATGAAAAAATTTGGGATGTGCAAGCGGGATTTAGAAAGGGAATGGGGTGTACAGATCAAGTCTTTTCCATGCGCATGATCGCGGAGAAGTTTTTGGCGAAAAACCAAAAAGTTTTTTGTGCGTTCATGGACTTGGAAAAGGCTTATGACAGAGTGGACAGGGATGTGTTATGGCAAACGCTGAACGCATTTAGGGTGAGCGCTGGTTTGATACAGGCATTAAAGTCTCTGTATAGGGACTCGAGTGCTTGTGTTAGAATCAACGGGGTCTACTCGGACTGGTTTGGCATCCATAAAGGTGTCAGACAGGGCTGTGTAGCTTCCCCGTGGCTGTTCAACCTATTTATGGACAGCTGTTTGGAAAATTTGAAAGTTGAAGAATGTGGGTTAAGAATGGGTGAGTTAACCATCAAATGCCTTTTGTACGCCGATGATCAAGTCATACTTGCGTCGTCGGCGGCCGAGTTGCAAATGATGGTTACATTAATGAACAGGTCATTAAAAGAAAGGGGAATGAAAGTGAACGCAAGTAAGACGAAAGTGATGGTTTTTGAAAGAGATGAAAGCAAAACGGTATGTGAAATAAGAATAGAAGGAGAGTTAATTGAGCAAGTGGATGAGTTCGTATATTTGGGATGTGTATTCAGCAGGGATGGGAGATATGATAAGGACATTGAACGACGAGTGAATGCAGGAAATAAAGTAAATGGGGCTCTACACTCTATTGTGAAAAGTCAGAATGTGTCAAAAAAAGGCACGTATGGCAATTCACAGTGCTGTATTAGTCCCTACTTTAACGTATGGTAGTGAAAGTTGGGTGTGGCAGAAGAAGCACGAGAGTAGAATAAATGCAGTAGAAATGCGGTCGCTAAGGAGTATGTTAGGGCTGAATCTGAGTGACAGGGTGAGAAACTGTGTGATAAAAGAAGAGTGTGGTTTGCAAGATGATGCGGTGACCAGGATTAAGAAAGGAATGCTTCGGTGGTTTGGTCATGTAGAAAGAATGAATGCGGAAAGACTGACAAAGCAAATATATGTTGCAGAAGTGAATGGAAGAGTCGGAAAGGGACGTCCTAGGCGGAAGTTTGTCGACCAAATTGGCGATATACTAAAAATGGGCCAAATTAAGAGTACCCTTAACCGACGAGCATGTATGCGTAGGTATATGGTTGTGGAAGAGGCGAGAAAGGTATGTCAAGATCGTGCTAAATGGAAGTCTGTAGTCTCTGCCTACCCCTCTGGGTGACAGGCGTGAGTGTTTATATGTTATGTTTTACAGCATATTAGACGGTCCTAAGTGCGTAAAAGTATGAAATAAAAATGGAAATTACAAAAATAATAATCTGATACGAAAGGTACTTACTTAGCATTTTCTGTTTCACATTTTTTTGTTCTTTACAAACATTTGGCATGCGAGGGCATTATTAATCAATGATCGGCAGTGAGAAGTGCTGCTATTTTAAATCTCTTTTATTGACCAAGTATTTTACTAATAAGCAGTATATGCTGATCTTGCATTAGTAGGCAGTAACTTGTACTGGGAGGTCTACTTTCACTGAACGTTTTAAGGTCATTGACATTATACTCGAAAGTAATACATACATACTTAAAACTGTCTCTATTATGTGCTTGCAGACTGTGACTCTCGACAATACGAAAATGACGTCTTCATGCGAGATGTACTCGGGACTCGAGCAGCTGCAACAGCCAACCAAGCAGGAGCAGCACCAGCTGCGCCTGGGCAGCGCCCCGCAGGAACATTTGCCGGTCAGTGACAACTACTGGACTACTGAACTGAACTGAACTAAAGATACAGTCCATATAAGACCTGGGAGACTTTTTACTGGAGACGAGGCATTGTATTGTAGTCCTTAGCAATAGATAATGCATCTGTTATTTGATTTTCAATTGAGAATAGAGATGTATGAATGGATATGTATATGGATCGGAGTATTCACTTAACATCATGTTTACTGAATGCTTGTTTGTCATGCGTCCCACTGCTGGGCACAGGCCCCATCTCATTTGTGTGTGAGGGTTTTTGAGCAAGGGTGTTCCATCGCGCTGCCCTAATGCATGTTGGTTTAAAGTATCAAACGTCTTTGAAATATTTTTTTTATTTCTAAAAGGTTTCCTAATGATTAGAGTTGGGCCGATTAGTACTTTGGTCGATTGCCGATTAGCCGATTAATCGGTTAAGTAATGGGTAATAGGATTAATCGGCCATTTCTCATTAACAGTCTTTATTCAAGAATTAAGTGTTTTATTTTTGTTTTGCAAAGGGAGAGACTTAAATTTGTTTTTTGTTTTTAAGTTTATTAAGAATAACATTATTAATATTTTATTTTGTTGTGTTACTACTCTGCATTACGATTAGAAAAAGTTAAAAAGTAGAATTAAAATAGTAAGTACTCAGGTTTTTGTTTAGTTTTAAATAGCTACTTCAATTTCTTTTTTTTTACCAAAGTTCTTATGTTCAGAATAATTAACATTAAACATGTGAGACTGATTTTTCAATAAAAGTTATGTATGTACCTACTTATTTTATTATTTATTTGATTTACCTTCATATGTATAAATCTGTCATGATTTTACACATGGGAGAGAAACTATTATTTTCTTAAATTTAAAGCTACTCATTTTTTTTTTTTGGAAGAACAGAACAGAAGAACAGCTATCATAATTAGGATAGATAGTTAATAACAACAGTGAGCCAATTAAAGATCCTCACTAATAGATACAAAAGTGAATTTACAACAGTGATAAATACGATTTAACACTCGAAAGTATCCAATACAACATATTTATGCAAAATGAGAGCTAAACTTGTATTATACATATAAAAGACAATCAACTCATACTTAGGACACTACAAGCTATTTTTAACAGAAAAATAAACACAAATACAAAAGTAAATCATAGTTGTGTAGCAACGCATCAATATCTCACTTAGAGCTACCAAAAAATGCATTGTTAAGTATGCGCCTAGCTGACGCAGCACTAGTGTTAAACAAATCGAAGTCAAACTCATTGGCTAGCTTATTGAAATTATTGCTCGCTCGCCATATAAATGTATTTTGCCTATAATTTGTAGATGAAAACGGGAGACTTAAAATTTTGTTGTATCTAAGAGGTTTGGCAGGACAGCTAACATGTAGCTGAGATAAAAGCTCAGGACAGTCAATAGCACTACAAACTATTTTTAAGAGCAAAGTGAGGTCAGCGATCTCACGACGTCTCATAGCAAGAGGAAGAAGGTGATGTTTTTTACAATAACTAATATAATTATCTGAGGTATAGCGATAGTCATTCGTTCTATAACAGAGGTAACGCATAAACTTACTTTGGATATTTTCAAGTCGGGCAATATATGTTGCATACCTGGGGTTTCAGATTTGAGATGCATACTCCAAATTACTTCTTACAAGAGAACAATATAGGATCTTTAGAGTTTTAGCTTTAGTGAAGTCCCTAGAGCTACACATCAAAAATCCAAGAGCTTTCGTAGATTTGGTTATAATTCTTCCTAAGTGAACGTCAAATATCAATTTGGAATCATGAAGAACACCGAAATCTCTAACAATGGAATCCCTTTTAAGATTTTCACCTTCAATTTATAGTTAAAGACAATCGGTTTATAATTGCGACTATAGGACTCATATCTATATATCCGCACTTACCACGCAGAAAATCAAGAAAACCCTTTGCTGAAATTAATAAAAAAACCATTAAATACACTAATCGGTGACTACAAATAGGCCAATTAATCGGCTTCACCGATTAGTCGGGGACTAATCGGCCCAACTCTACTAATGATGTATTTCTTCACTGTCGAACACCTGGTAAATCTTCCCTGACTGCTTCGAAAGAATTATGTTTTTGAGATGTATATATCTTTATTTATCTGTGATATACGGCAGTAAAATATGCTTCCTGTGGTCAAAACATATCGTGCAAAAATTAATATAGTGCTGCTTGAAACGCATTCTGACAAACATACTTTTAGTTTGGCTTAGCAGCATGTATTGCAGTTCATTTTTTGTCAGAATCCTTTAGGGGCTCGTGCACGACAACTTACCAAAGTTTCATCATAATCAGATCAATTTTTTATCAAATTTAATGTGACAAACAAACTTCACTTAACAGTTCACTTGATGACGAGTGGCTACTGCAGGCTATGAGCATCTGCATCCAATTATAAAAAAGAAGGCTATTAATGTGTTGTCACCTCTCAAATAAAGCTGGAATACTTCTGTACCTGTAATTATGCTGGGCTCTCTAATACTAAATTCTTCAGGCTGGAACACAGCTGCACGCCCAGTTAGGCGGCAGAAATAGATAAGAAGATGGCTCCTACCCAGGCAGACTCCTAAGCACCCAGTAAATAGGAACGCATAGAAGACGCAAACAACTTTAAATTCCTCTATATCTATAAAATTCACATACTATGTATTCCTAAATATACCTCTTATAAGATCAATGTACCAGTAGTCCCCTACTTTCTTCGGCATCCTTGAGTGTTCATTACAATTTCATTGCTCAACCACGTGCTTAGCTGTGAAGGAAAGCGTCCTAAGCGAGGAAATCTGCTAGTCTGTGAAATTTAAAATATTTCGAAAACATCTCGGGTATGCTTAACATGCAGTTATGGTAGTGCAGCAGACTATCTTACTTTTTCCAAGACCTTGTCCGAAATCAGAAAAGGTCAGTGGATCAGTCCGTCTGTGGTCAGGTCAATAAATATTAAAGGAATAAAAAAATGTGACAATAGTTAAATGTTTTCAGGTGACGGACGAACACGGCAATCCCCTTCACTTCACCATGCAAGATGGCACCCGGCTCGCCATTACGTCTGCGGATGGAAAATCTTTGCAGGTACCTACATATTTAATATTGGATGTATATCTGCAGCGCGAATGGGTCGTGAGCCGGGAAGATGTATCCATGTATGAAATAACAACATAATGTTGCTGAGTTTCATATGGTGAGTGTAGATAACCGGAGACTTCTTACTAAAAGTAAGGCATTGTATTGCAGTCCTCAGCAACAGATATATCATTATGTTTTTTAATCGAGAATAGATGTATGAGTTACAATAAGCAGCAAAATTGATCAAGGATGTACTTTGCAGTCCAAAATACAGAGCAAAATCCGCCGTATAAACTTATTACCACAGTATCTAATTACGACCAGTCGATCATCGAAGGCGTATAGACCAGACGCGCCAGTGGTGCTCACCATACAAAACACAATAGCATTGAGCTGCTATTTGACGCTGATATTCTGTGAGAGCGTGGACCCGGAGGGTCGAGCCGACACGTTCGTGCTGCAACCTTGATACAGCTGGCAGCAGCATGGCTCTATACTTTTTATTTCTATTCTGTTTTTGGACAATCAAAACTTATTGTTATTTTATTGATGTAATATTCATTATTACGTTCAATAATATCTGCTACCTACTGGTCGCCTCTTCTCACTTAACTGAACGACTGTCATTTATAGCTAATGGTATACCATTGGAATATCATTAGCTATAAATGATGGTCACATTGGAATGAATTGGTGAAATAGGGGACCGTCTATAGTTGGTCCCCCCTTACACCAATTTATTTGTAGCAAAAATGAATATTAATGTGGTTGGGCGGCGGGCCTAAGGTTCCCGAGTTCGATTCCCAGGTTAAGCCTTGACCCTATTATGCGAGATGTTATACTAAGTGGACTGTATACGCGTTGGCTTCTTATGCCTCAACAAGATGGCGGATGTGACACGCGGCACCTTAGACAATGCACTCGCTGTTCCAAATCTATTGCTTGCCAAGGTTAGGAGAGGATTCTACTTGAGCACATTAGGAGAAATAAAATGGGGCGGGTTAACTAACAAACAAAATGCTCAAGTCGGAGCATTATTACGGGAAAACACTTACCGGGGTGTGATTCTGGTGATGGCGGACGACGCTTCCGCTGCGGTGATGCGATGTGAGGTGGGTTCTTCTGGAGCGCGACTGCTCCAGGTGATGCGGTTCAGACTAGCGGCGCGTGGCAAGAGCACGCGCGAGGGCAGCGCGCGAGCCTTTATTGTCTCGGCTTTTTCCATCAAGCACCTCGGTCGGGCGCGCTTCTCATTGGTCGAAAGAATCGCGTCACCTTCTAGACTCCTCCCTCACCCGTTTCAGTGTGTACGGAAGGGATATTAGGTCAAAGGATGGGTAGACGCTTGGCAATATACCCTCGAATAAAATTAAAATACACGAATCGTTTCCGCGTAACCATAATGTTTATTAATTTTAAGAAATTATACTTCTACGCGCCGTAACAGTTACACGCACTCATTTTTTATTATATTGTGAACAACCTTGACCATCTTTATTACAGAAATAAGCACTGATGCAATATTTTTTGTTTCAGGTTATCACGCAAGATGGTCAAACAATACCTGTAGAAATCAATAGTTTTACAGATGAAGAGGTTCGCACTACTATAAGTTAAAAAGTATTTATTTAGAGATTATAAATAAAAGTACATAAATTAAGAATTAACAGTGATAATACCGTTACAGCCTATCATATGTCCACTGATTAACACAGGCTTCCCTTATAGACGGCCTCATAGGGGGGACATTTGCCACAGTTGCCATACTGTATATGGATTGGTAACCGCAGTTTTTTTTTATTTTTGGTTGTTATTAGAAAGACGCGGCAGTCCAACCCCGTGGTTTGTTCCCTCTGTCGCCTCTTACGACACCCTTGGGTGGGTATATATAAAATAATAATTTATATATATATATATATGTGTGTGTGTGTGTGTGTGTGTGTGTGTGTGTGTGTGTGTGTGTGTGTGTGTGCGTGCGTGCGTGCGTGCGTGCGTGCGTGCGTGCGTGCGTGCGTGCGTGCGTGCGTGCGTGCGTGCGTGCGTGCGTGCGTGCGTGCGTGCGTGTGTGTGTGTGTGTGTATATAAAATAATAATTTACTATTTTGGTTTTCGTGTTCCCATAAAGATATACTCAAATTTTTCGCTGAGTTTTTAACGTTTGTCCATAGTTTTGGATTTAGATGAATATACTAATATATAAAAACATCTTCAGGACATAGACAGTGCCGACACCGTGGTCCACCAGTTGAACTTGCAGAGGAGCGTGGACAGCAACGGTTCTTCGCCAGTTACTCATTACTACACGCTGGTGTGAGTACTTAACAACAGTGAGATGTTTCTGTGATTTATTATTAGGTGATTCTGGGGTGATTGCAATGTTGCTACGCGGTATAATTTTAATTCTTGAATGGGAAATAATTATTGATTAATTAAAAAGAAATGATTGATTACGATCTAAAAGCTGGTTACCGATTTGTGATGTTACCATAAACTGGTATTAAATATTGTATGCTCAATTAACTCGTATTATAAATGTTTATATACTGTTTTTAATATGGATATAATAAGTTATTAAAAATTTTAATTGTATTAGAGTTATTATGAATGTAAAATTATAATATTTAATTATTTGTTAACTTCATGCTGTGTGTAAATATAGTGTTATGAAAATTTACGTTATGTAAGTATTGTATTTATTTAAAGGATATATAGAGCTAATATAATGTAGCTTAATATACCTAGTTCCATTATGGATAAATAATAAATGCTTTAAAATTTTGGTTTTATGACCTACCAGCATGTCTAAGCAGGGTTTGCAAACATTTTTTTACAGATGTCTATTATTTTTCCTCAAAATTATAATTAGATCAATAATTATAAACAAAAATTACGGTTTAAATTACTATATATTAGAATACATGGTTAGTTTTAATTATTCTATTTTTGTACACTTCCGAACTCCTGCTAAGGGTTTGTGGCACACGTGCCGTACGTCTGCCATCCATTTCTAAACCACAGTAGTAATACAGTATTCCCATTTCATAGGTGTCGAGAAAGGCTGAGATAAATGTCATTTGTTGAGTTGATCATGATTTAATAATAATGACTAATATAATGTAAGTTTGGTTTATTCTCAACCTCGTGGTGCACATGTATTTTACTGCCATTTAAATCAGTTATGATTATTTAAATCTATTTGAAATCAAAACTTTTATTAATGTCTATGGTATAGAATACATTTAAACCGAGGCGGTGGAAGGAAAGAAGTTCTGTATGTGTCCGCCTAGGTTGGTCTCTGGCCCTCTAATCTATTTTTGTTATTTAACAATCTGTATGACGCGAATTTTTTTTACATTGACACACGAGGCTTTTACTTTTTATATATTCATAATTTTAAATTTTAATGTTGGTAATTTATTGAAGCAATAATCGAATTAAACAATAGTAACTGGACTCAGAAATGCGAACGTCTTGATCTGATGAAAAATATAAAATTGAATAAACAGTTTTATGATATAATATTATTAACTACGATAAAGATATAAAAATTGAATAAACAATTTTTATATCTTTATCAGATCAATTGATTCTAATACATACATGTATACTTAAAAATAAACGGGAATTATTAGTTCTTTGTTTTATTTCACTAATTTTTAAAATATTAGCAGATATATATATATATATATAGATAATATATATATATATATATATATATATATATATATATATATATGTGTGTGTGTTTGTGTGTATATATAATCCTACCATTTTTGATTATTACTGCTGATATAACCTAAATCCGGGGTTCCCAAAGTAAGCGTTTCGGCGCCCTGGGGCGTCGTAGGGAGTAAGTAGGGGCACCGATCCTGGAACTCTTGCGACAATAGTGTTAAAACTTGCTTATTTCGGTAAAAAAATTAATATCCAACTCTAAAATTCAATTTACTATGGATTTCGAGGCAAATAATTCCTTCTCTATAGGTCTGACGCACAAGATTGGCTATATCTTGAAGCTAGCTTCTATTAGAACATTATACAAGCCGCTGAAGAGGATTAGTCAGTTCTTACCATCCATCAAGTGTCATATTCCTTTAAATAATACAAATTTTTACGGATTTTATTGCGTATATTTAACTTTCTAATTACCCGGTGTTTCGAGCACCCATGGTCACGGGAGACTGACATGTTCATTGTCTAGATGTCAGTTAACTGCTGTTAACATAGATTAAATTTATTAATTTTTGTTCCGATCTATGCAGTACGTACTTATCGTACGTATCTTGAAGTCTTGCAGTTGTATGCTTGGGTCCCAGCCATCTTCTCTATTGAAAGTTGTATTTTGATTTCAATAGCCTTGCGAATCATCCTTGGAAGGAATCGGTGTTCTTTAGCGAGGATGTAGTGACGGGGGCGATCCTGTTTCGTGTTCATAGACTGCAGACTTCCCGGAGCGTCGATTCTTCACATCAGCTATATGTTCTTTAACGCGGGTTTTAATTGATCTTTTAGTTTGTCTTACGTAGGAGAGACCATGGCTCAAGGTGTTATCAGGATTCCGAATTACTAACACATTTAGAAAAGCTAAAGAATTGTTTGCCTCTAACTCCATTGTGAACTCAATTTTAGAAATTATAGAGTTAAGATGGTCTAAAAATGCAGTTACTTTATCTAAAGGTAGAATTGTGAAAGTGACGTCTACGTACCGCTTGTAGAATCTTGGATTTATGGGAGAAGTAGAAGAAGTAGGCTTTCTCCTCAAAGTCTTCCATGAATATGTCGGCGTCAATGGGAAATACAGGTGAGCCCATCGCCACACCATCTACTTGCTTGTAAAACAACTTCCACAATAGGTAGCCAGATGTAAGGCAGCGTCTGAGTAATACTGAATATTCTACGGGCGTGTTGTTTTCTTCCAGCATTCTAGTTACAATTGAGATGCACTCTTCAACAGGTAAGCATGTAAATAATGACTGCACATCAAAACTGACCATATTTTCATTGTCTGCCAGATGTAGATCTTTAATCTCGCTGACAAAATGGTAGGAATCCTTTATGTGTGCTCTTGCATGTCCCCTGAGCGGTGAGAGTATTTTCGTTAAGTGTTGAGCCAATCTGTAAGTTGTTGAATCGATTTGGCTCACTATGGGACGTAATGGAGTATTGGGCTTGTGTATTTTTGGTAACCCATACAAGTTTGGTGATTTGGCGCACGTAGGTATTATCCATTTTACGTCCAGATTTAATTTTTCGGAGTGTTTCTTTTTGAGGTCACTAGTTGTTTTAATGTGCTATTAGTTGGGTCGCCGCATATAAAAATACTAAGAACGATTTAAAAAGTAAATCATGGTAGAGTTTAAGCGAATGTTGATGATTATTTTGGTATAAATTTTACGTCAAAATGATGTTACAACTTAGGAGATATTGGGGCTTGTACCATATATGATTTTTTGCCCTTAATTAAAAGGCATATAACGAAAATGTATTTAATAATTATTAAAGTATAGGATATTTGTGACTTAAAAATATTTTTTTCGATGGTCGATATTAAATAAAATCTACAAATTAGAGCTCCCAAATCATGTCTCAGAGTTTTGGCCTAAACATGCATATTGAGAATGATTATTAATATTAAATAAATAAATAAGTTATCTAAAATTTGCCTTGAGCTTATTGTAGTATAGAGAAAATGAACTATTTTTACCAAGTAAAAGAAATCTAATAATTTCGCGTTTTTTTTGTAATTCTCCTAAAGGAAAACGCAAGTTTTCCGAACGAACAGAATTTGTCAAGTTTTGTTATGTACAGATCACTTAGACAAGCTCTACTAATTACCTTTTCGTAAATAAAACTGCTAATTATACTAGCCTGTTATACGGGCATTTTTGAAACGCTGCCGAAAACGAAGACAGACAATAATTCTTAGGTTACCTTTGATGATAGGACGAAAATAAAATCGATCTCCATGAAAAAAGAAACATTTTTTTACAACGTTTATATAGCTTTATTCACGCTCTATCATGTTAGTACAGATAAATGAAACGACAATTTCATAAAAAATATTATTAAAATACCCAAACATAAACCAGCAGTGAAAATTAAACCTGAAATCAGCTGATTATGGGGTCAAAAAACGCGCGGATGCTGAACTCTTTTTATCTAGGTCGGTGCGAAACAATGCAATACGCATATCATATTCACGCTCACTCTACCCTTCCCTTTCACACACTCGCTGCCGGCTCCCGGTCGTCTCGTGTCGCCTCGCAATTTACACTTGTTCAGCGTTGCCAACATGTGGAGAATTCCCCAAATTACGGTGAATTTAAAATTGGTTGGAGAGTATTTGGGGATTGTTATTATGCGGTGATTTTGAAAATCGATTGCCTGGGCCAAGTCAGAACCTTTTTTTCAATAAATTTAAATACTTATCTTAACATTTTTGTTAGGTTACTTATAAATATCAAATGACTCCCTTTTTTAATTATTATCTTGCACCACATTTAATTTTCGGATTTTTTGCCACCTTTTGTGTATCATTTAATGCTTTTCCTTTTTTTTATTTTACAGCAAAGTAAATGCAGCTACTGTGTTCTTTTTAATGGCAAGAAGGTAACGAATTAAAAATACTCTATGCAGTAAAATGCTTGTTACAAAAATATGGTGTGAAAAAAAATTTTCGGTAATAAAGAAAAAAAAACTAAATAAATAAAATTTTAAAATAAATCTTATAAAATTAATTGAAAATTGTTTCATTACTTAAAATAAAATTGAGGGGAATTTGAATTGGACTTTCGGGGAATTTTAACAAATAGGTCAAATTTTAGTAGGTTAATTTGGATGATTATGATTAGATAAATTAGCCATGAACTGCGCGTATTTGGCGTCGCGCGTACATTGTTCCCTATGAGCTGATGTTAGGTATTTGAAGTTCCACTGCTGGTTTTATGTTTTTAAATATTTTCATGATTTTTTTTATGAAATTATCGTTTCATTTATCTGTAATAACATGATAGGGCGTGAATAAAGCTAAATAAACTTTGTAAAAAAATGTATATATATTTTAATAATAATATATTTTATTATCGTCCTATTATCAAAGGTAACCTTAGAATTATCGTCTGTCTTTGTTTTCGGGAGCGTTTCAAAAATACCCGTATTTTATCTATCTATCTACTGTTGATTTTGTATGTTTGTAAAAGAAATCAGAATAATACAATTAAATGTCATTTTTAAAAATAGGTGTTTTTTTATTTTTGTTATAATTATTTACCTAAGACATATAAAAAACCCAATCGGACCGAAATGTCCGTGTAG